CCCTTTTCACCACTAATAAAACTGTCCTCAAGCTCAAAAAACATCTTTACTAGAACTGAACTAAGTGTATAGGTCAGGTTAGGGAATAGACATCTAGATGACATGTGTCCAGAGGCCAGGGTGGGATGTCATCTGTCACCCTCCACTTTGCTTTAAAACAGGATTTCAGTGACATGGAGCTCACTAGGCTACACTGGCTGGTTTCTAGACCCGACATTTATATGGGTGCTGAGAATCTAAACTCAAGTTGTCATGCTTGCATGGAAAGACCTTTACCCACTGAGTCATTCCCCAGCTCCCGGATAATGTTTGCCTCTTTCCCATTGTTACCTTACACCAGTTCTGATGTAAAGCATCCCGTGGCTGGTTTTTTTTTTTTTTCTAACTCTAGAAGTTCTAGATGGCTCTTTTAAATGCTACAAGGTCTTTATAATCCCCTTTCCTTAGCAGTGTTTTAAGGACTCTTACTTCTTAACGTTACTATTTAATAGACTGCTGTAAGTCCCAGTTCTGAAGTACTGGAAAGTCTGATTCTTCTGCTGTCTGCTACCTCTGACTCATACCTCTGTATTTATTGCATCTCGTGGCCTTTATTTTTGTGAGCTTTTTGTTTGTTTTGTTTGAGAAGAAGTTTCACTGAGAACCTAGGTTGACATGAAACTCGATGTGTAACACTTGCTGACCTCAAACTTGTGATCCTCCTGCTTCCATCTTTTGAGAACTGGGCCACTGGAGGCATGGGCCACCACTCTTGCCCCACCCTCCACCCCTTAGTGCGTAGCTTCCACTGTCCTAGAACTCACTCTGTAGGCCAGGCTGGCCTTGAACTCAAAGATCTGCCAGCCTCTTCCTCCCGAGTGCTGGGTGCCTCTGTTGGTATTTTCAAAGCTTGGTTTGAAGTTGTTTTCTTCCAGAGAGAATTTGTGTTTCCCAGGAACACTTTCTATTGCGTGTTGGCCACAGTTTTCTGTTCACACTCAGGGAGGGAACTATGTGTTTTGGAGTGCAAGTTGCAGGATTTAGTAAAACCTCTCCCTCAGTATCTGCCTTGTCACCTGTGAAATCACATCCTGGTACCTACCACCTAAGGCTGCAAGACGGGAATGGGATCGTGCACATAAATAAGAAGCATCAGAGGTGGTCAGTGAGTAGCATGCTCTTGCACTGAATAGCCCCGGCCAATGGGAGCAAACCAGTGCTGCCTTGGCCACGGCTAATAGCATGACCCTATTGAGAGCACAGACTTGAACTTGCTGTGTAGGTGAGGATGGCCTTGAACTGGCTGTCTAGTCAGGGTGAATTTTAGTGCTTCACTTAGCTCCTGTGAGCTCTCAGCTTTGAGATATCAGAGCCTCCAGGTGCCTTTGAGAGACAGAAGCCTCTGCCTGCCTCAGTCTTGACCATGGTCTGGAGTTGTCTTAGAGATCATTTGGAACCAGATAACAAGAAAAATGATGCTTAACAGAAATTACTTTCTTCAGATGCTGTAGGAAATGGTTGGCTATTAGTTAATCATGGATGCACCTCAAAAATAGAACAATTATGTATATGTACAAGGGCCTGGGCTCAATGCTAGCACTATAAAAAGAAAAGAAAACAGCCATTATAACTATGTGGTACTAATAAGTTGTCAGAAATTTTATGTGTTTGAGTGTTTGCCTACATGTAAGTCTGTGCAGGCGTGTATGCCTGGTACCTGTGGAGGCCAGAAGAGGGCATTAGGTTTCCTGGATCTCGAGTTATAGACAGAAGTGTGCCAACATGTGGGAGCTGGGAAGCAAACAGGGCCCTCTGTAAGTGCAGCCAGTGCTCTCGGCCACACCTTGTCTGCTGCGCTCCACAAGGGAGGGGTGAGACTACACTTATGGGTCTTTAGTAAATCACCACATAAGGTGCTCACTGATGGATCAGGGCTGCAGGACAAGGACTCAGGAGCCTTGTTGCTCCCGGCAGCCCTGAGCAGGGGCAGAAATGGGTTTATAAGCACAAAACTCACAAATACCTGTCACAGTTACAATTTTCCACCAATCAGGATCCAGAGAATAGGGACTTTCCTGTGTATTCCATCATTGTGAACAGATACAGAATGTAAGCTTTTCAGTCCAGCCAATCGGATTCATTTGTTCTTCTGTTGTTAGGAACAGCCTTAATGTTTTAGATGACCAGGGAGCATAACAGACAATCTCTATTGTCTAAGGAGGTTGGTCAGCCATTGGAAGGTTCCCAGCTCCCCTAAGGCTTGGGAACCTGAACTTTGTTTCTCTCTAGAGGTAAAATGGAATCTGAAGTCAAAATGGCAGTGCTTAGGACAAGGTGCTTTGCCTACTCCCTTCACTCTTAACTGCTGAGCCAGCTCTCCAGCCTCAAATTGTTCATAATTTTTAGGCATGTGGAAAGTAATATAAAAGGAAGTAAAAAGAAAGTTGAAATTGTATATTGGCATGAAAATATCTTAACTCCTTTCTGGGAGGAAGGAATGTAAAGAAGTGTATTTAATAGCATGACCCTAGTGCAGAGTTCAGAAGGATACTCCTGTACTCAGGAAAAACAAATACGTAAGGAGACTTTTTGTTTGTTTTTAAGGCAAAAAAAAAAAAAAATAGCCCAATCTGGCCTTGAACTTGCTCTGTAGACAGATGACCTTGAGCCCTGATCCTCCTGCCCTAACTCATAAATGTTGGAATTAGGGTGAGCACAGCTTGTTAATAGTCATTCCTTTTTTTGTTTTTGTTTTGCTTTAGTATGTGTGTGTGTGTGTGTGTGTGTGTGTGTGTGTGTGTGTGTGTGTGTGTGTGTTTGAAATAGAGTTTCTCCATGTGGCCCCGGCTGTCCTGGAACTCATTTTATAGCCCAGGTTGGCTTTGAACTCAGAGCTCTGTCTGTCTCTGCCTCCCGAGTGCTGGGATTAAAGTTGTGTACCACCACTGCCCAGATATCCATTCCTTTATAATGATGGGATTCTCTGTAATTTCCTCCCAATGATAGTAGAGTACAGTGGTAAGAGGCTGGGCTTGGAGTCAGAGTCATGCATTTAGTATCTGTTTGGCTTTTAACAAATGACAGGCTTTTGCTTTTCCCATCTGTTTGGGTTGTTTTGAGCTATAGCTCTGTGGCAGAGTGCTTGCCTAACATGCAGAAAGCTAGTTTGAGGGAAGGAAGGAAGGAGGGAGGGAGGGAAGGGAGGGGAGGGGAGGGGAGGGGAGGGGAGGGGAGAAGAAGGAAGGAAGAATCTTGAGTCCCAAGAACTAACCTGTGTTCTGGCATACTTGGCTGTTAATGTTTGATGTTACTGGGTTTCTCCTTGGTTTAAAGTTTATTTATAGCAAAAGGGCAAAGGGGACCAATGGCAGCCTATTGGGTTCTGCTTTGTGGACTTTTAAGGTATTGTTTTGACTATTTATAAGGTAGGTGGCATATTTATGGGCATACAATGACCTTTTTTCCTCCAAATCCTGGGGGCTGGATCTTCTAGTAAGGTAATTCTTCCTGTGATCCTCTTTAAAAGCTTAAAGGGAGCCATAATCACAATTCAATGTTTTATAAAGAAACTGGACTGCTTTGAAGATGCAGACCTGTCATTAGTGCCCAAGTGTGTCAGCTGGGAAAGTTCACTAGCACCATAGTTTCTGACAGTGGAGAGAGCCTGACTGCAGCTTCAAGGATGTTCAGCCAAGGCTCCTGGCCATCAGGGGACAGAGCTGCCAGCATACAGTTGTGCTTTCCTTGATAACCCACCCAGCCCTGCCTTATTTTGTTATGTCTACATATATGTATGGTTTCCAGGCTTCATTCATGTATGATAAAAATGAACTCTTATTTTATGAGCATTGGTGTTTTGCCTTGTGTGTTGAGTCCCTTGGAACTGGAATTACAGACAGTTGTGAGTGGCCATGTGGGTGCTGGGAATTGAACCCAAGCCTTCTGGAAGAGTAATCAGTGCTCTTAATCACTGAGCCATCTTTCCGGCCCCCATATACTTCTTTATAATCAAAAAGCAAGGTAAAAATGTACAATAACAGCCCATTCTCTTGGGAGAATGCTAAGCCTAGATATAGCAGGAAGACCTTGGTCCTGCCTCAAAGTATTACGCCAGACGTCACTGACTCCCCCAGGGGAAGCCTTACCCTCTCTGAGTGGATGGGGCAAAGAGTGGGAGAAGATGGAAGCAGGAGGAGGGGAGGGAGTGGGAACTGGGATTGATCTCATTGTAAAATGAGAAAAGATTGTTTTAAAATTTAAAAAAATTTTTTAAATGTCCATTAATACCAGGCAGTGGTGGCACGCGCCTTTAATCCCAGCACTTGGAAGGCAGAGGCAGGCCATTACTCACATATCCCTCATTAGCCAAAATCTTTTGATTTTAGAAGATGCAGAAGTGACCAACAATCAGTAGAAAGCAAACCTCAGCTTTTAGTTTTGGTCTTTTCCTGTGCTGGCAATGCCCAGTCTACACCTCCTATACTGGGCAGACACTCAGACTGAACTGTATCTGTAGATTATGGAGTCTGTGTGCGTTTTTGTCTCAGAATATTTTCAATTTATGATGGATTTAGAGGTGCATTGTAAGATGAGGTACAGTACATTCGTATAGAACATGCTTGGCTCGGGGGCTAGAGAGATGGCTCAGTGGTTAAGAGCACTGGCTGCTCTAACAGAGGCCCAGATTCAGTTCTAGTTCCCACATGGCAGCTCACAGCCATCCATAACTACAGATCCAGGAGATTTAATATTCTCTCCTGGTTTCCTTGGACATCAGACATGCACATGGTATGCACATATAAAAATAATAAATAAGAGACAAGAACATACTTGACTGAAAAATTTATTTCATATCCCTAACTTGGGTTTCCAGACTTGTCCTTGCTATTAAGAGAGTGTCCCAGTGCCCTAAATAAGTAGGAAGCAGTGCAGCAAAGGACCTGATAGGCCGGGTCAGAGAGAGGGCAAATTATAGCTTAGGTGGCTTCAGAGATGCTCAGCCTCTGCATCTTCTTGCCCAGGACGAAACGAGCCCTTGAAGAAGGAGCGACTCAAGTGGAAAAGTGACTACCCCATGACTGATGGGCAGTTGCGGAGCAAGCGAGATGAGTTCTGGGACACAGCACCTGCCTTTGAGGGCCGCAAGGAGATCTGGGATGCCCTCAAGGCTGCCGCCTATGCTGCTGAAGCTAACGACCATGAGCTGGCTCAGGCCATCCTGGATGGAGCCAGCATCACCTTGCCTCATGGTAAGCAGGCAGGGCCTAGACTCCATCCTTGCAGGGGCGGGGCGGTGTCAGGGTTTGCTAGCACAGAGGTGCAGGTGCAGGAAAGCCACCTCGTGTCAGTAGTTTAGCTGGTGGAGATGGAGGAATATGCATATATATGTGGTTATCTTGTTCATTTAAACAACTCTTTCTGGCATGAACAAAGAAATATAAGACACAAAACCAGGCATGGTAGCACATGCCAGTGATCCCAGCACTTGGGAGGTAGATACAAGGGGATCTGAAGTTCAAGTTCAAGGCCAGTCTGAGTTATACAAGACTGTCAGGGAGGGAGGGAGGGAGGAACAGGACCTCCCCCCTCTTGCCTAATGAGAAGAAAGAAAGTCATTAATAAAACCTACAAGCTGCAGTCTTGCTGGATGTACTTAGGGTCTCAGAGCATTTGAGGCACTGATCTGGAGCCTTCTGCTGCATTGTCTCCTTTCAATTCCTAGCACCCTCATTAGGCTGTATAAGGAAAGCAGTAGTAGAACTCCAATCACAGACCTAGGTCTTGACTGTTTCTTTTCCAGCTTGTGACCTTTTCTAGCTGTGTGGCCCTGAGCAGGGCATGCCGTACATTAAAGCCTGAGCCCCTTGCCACCACAAAGGATCGATCAGGGTGTACATAATATCACCTAGTCCAGTACCAGCACTTAAGGGGTGTTCAAGACTCTGTAAATGCATTCCTACTTGCATTACATTATACCAGTAAGGAAAATGGGGCTCAGTCCAGTGCCTAGTCGAAATGTTGAATAAACAAATGAAAAGTAACATGCCATGGCTGATGGAGCCAGCCCCGTGTTCAGATGTCCCAGAGAGTCGAGACTATGGGATAAGACTAGGGACTGTGAGCTAGCTTAGTGAGTGAGTTAATCTGCTTAGACTGCTGTAACAAAGCACCACAGACAGGTTCCGTAAACACTGGAAATCTTTCTCACAATTCTAGAAGCTGGAAAGATCAAGGACAAAGTGTCAGCCATTTAGTTTTCTCCTCTTTGCTGTTTTCTTATGGCAGGCAGAGAGGATGGGGAGAGTTCTCTGGAACCTTTCCTTGTAAGAAAACTGATCCCATCAGATTATCTCAACATTATCATTTACTCATATAATCTTATTACTTCCAAATATGCTTCAACATAGGAATTTGGGGGACATGGTATTCAGTGCATGATAGACAGCAGGTCCCCAGACTACACTGATTGCCCTGCCTTTCCCACAGGAACCCTTTGTGAATGCTATGATGAGCTGGGCAATCGCTACCAACTGCCCATCTATTGCCTGTCACCACCTGTGAACCTGCTGCTGGAGCACACAGAGGAGGAGGGCCTGGAGCCCCCTGAGCCCACCCCTAGTGTGCGCCGCGAATTCCCACTGAAAGTGCGCCTCTCCACAGGCAAGGACGTGAGGCTCAGCGCCAGCCTGCCCGACACAGTGGGGCAGCTCAAGAGGCAGCTGCACAGCCAGGAGGGCATCGAGCCATCCTGGCAGAGATGGTTCTTCTCTGGGAAGCTGCTTACAGACCGCACACGGCTCCAGGAAACCAAGATTCAAAAAGACTTTGTCATCCAGGTCATCATCAACCAGCCCCCACCACCCCAGGACTGATAGGCAGCTGACTCCTGGGAGGAGAGGCCATGGGGGCCCTGCAGGCTGTGGGGCCTAGGCCTGGAGCAGAAGGCCCCCTGCCTGTTGCTGCCTTCAGTGCTGTTGTCTTCTTCAGGGGCGCCTCCTGCCACCCTGCTGTGTGGCTCTCACTGAGCTATGAAGGGATTTGCCTTCCAGGGCACTGGATCCACCAGTGCCCGGCACCTGGGGGTAGTGCTCCTTGCCAGCCGCACACAGGCCTTGGCCAGCCTTGTCGGAGCAAAGGCCCCTAGCACTTTCCACCACAGGGTGGAGCCACGGGCTGGCCTGCAGACCCTAGGACCCAGGTCTGTCATCTGGTGCCACCACTGTGCTCACTCCAGTTTCTGCTCAGGGTTGGAAGCAATTGCTGTCTCCCCCTTTATCCCTCACCATGGCTCTGCCCTGGGCACAGTGCCAGTCCCCTGGAGGGGAGGGAATCACCAGTGAGCCCCAGGGCTTGGAGAACTTGAGGCAAGCCACCCTGCCTCTCCCTGCACCCAGCACAATCGGCAGAGATGAGGCAGGTGGCCAGATAGCCAGGCTTTATGGCAGGGGTCTACACAGGGCCATCCCCAACTGTAACCCAGGCAGGGTGGGTCTGTAGCCTGGTCATGGCTCCAGCAGGGCCCTGTGTACAGACACATCTGCATTTTATCAATAAAGCCTTTTGCTCCTCTGTTGCCTAGCCGTTAACTTGCAGCCCACAACACAGTGGCTCAGGAATAGATGGGCGCAGTAGAGCATCTCCTCTTGTGGGAGCTGTTCCTCTTGTGAGCCCTAATCTCTTCCGAGCCCTCTGTGTTCCTGTGAACCCTGAAAACAGCCACCTTTGCTTTTCTTTAAGTGGAGATGGTGCCGCCTGCCCTGCCTCCTGCAGCAGTTGCTGGGCCCGTGAGGTGGGAGGTACTTGTGAAAGCGTAGAGTGCCCAGGGAAGACAGCGGAGCTGTAGAGTGCCCACGGAAGGCAGCGGAGCTGTGTGCCTGCCGCCCTCAGGGCCAGCTTGGAGTTCTCGGAGACACAGTGCCCATGCTGTGTCAGAGCGAAACTTTCAGAAACCAAAGGGGGCCAATTTCTCATGTTTCCTCTGGGGAACTGTGTGCATCACTAGAAGGGGATCTCAGATAAGGTGTCACCAGGGGTGTCACTTACAGTTGTAGACGTGCAGAGCTGGGCCATCTGCAGTCTGCTAGCAGGTTAAACCTGGGTCACAGTGACCCGGGGCTCCAGGCTGGGAGTCCCAGATGTGGAGCTCAGTGAGTGCCTTCCCTCTGTGTACCCTTCGTCCTCCCAGAGTGTGGCCAGCTTCACCCAAGGCAGCCTGGCATTGCCTAGCACTCCTTGTCAGCTGGCCTTGACTCTGCACTCTGTCTTCTGGAATCTCACAAAGCAACATTGTAAGTTCTTCTGAGGGTCCTGGGAAGAGGAGGCAAACAGATGGACAGGGTCTGGTTGTGGCTAATGAACATTCCATTGAGTGTAGCCATGCTTCACTGGGGTGTGCTCCAACTCCTGCCTGGAGAAGATCCCAAATGCCCCTAGGAACACACAGGGCCCATATTTTGGTTTTTCAGACCCCTTGTCTGGCACTATCTGGACAGGATTTCTTGGTATCCAGCAGGTGGCACTGCCATCTAGGACAGTGGCAGCATGTCCGTTGTTTACACGGATAAGTCCTAGCTACGACTTATCCGGTTTCAAGCACTGAGGATACACCGGACCCCTTCCTGCAACTGTCCTCTTGGGGCGCTGTGCCTTCTGGCTCTGGCAAGCCAGAGGTTAGGGGAGGGGCAACTTCCCTGGCCTGGGCAGTGTTTTCCCATGCTCCCTGGGGCTGTCCGAGGTGAAGGTGACAGGTGGAGGAGGCAGGTGGAGAATTGAGTCAGTGAGCTCATGACAAAGGCGCCCAGTGGGCGGGGTGGGTATTCTGGCCTATAAAGACCCTATGCCCTGTGGCTTGCTAAGGCAGTCATGGAGGGCACCATGGAGGGTCCCGAGGCAGTGCAGAGAGCCACAGAGCTCATTGAGCAGCGGCTTGCCCAGGAGGAAGAAACTGAGGTGGGAACCAGGGTAAAGGGTATTGGGGAGGGAGGACTCCAGGTTAAGGAGTCCATCTGTGGTGTCATGGAAGGGAGAGAGTGGCTACTGTGTGGGTACAGGCAACATGCTGGACAGGTATTTCCTGGGACCCAGCCAGGCCCATTTCCACACCAGGATGCTCTTGATGGGGTTGTGGGTGGTGAGAGATGGGGCTTCAGCCCCTCAAACAGGCATCTGGAAAGGGCGGACTTTCCCAAGACCCTGCCCACTCACGTGGGCTAGACTGGATTGTGCAGGAAAAGCCAGGAAGGTCCTGAGACACACACCCCAACTGTCCCCTGGATGCCAGGGCAGGAACATCTCCATGGTTTAGTTGCTCCAGGAGAAGGAACTGGTAAGAGTAGGGAAGGGAGATGGGGAAGGCCCTCTGGGACTCACCCAGGCAGTGCTTACAGAAGCCTAAGGAGCAGGTACACTTTCTCTTGGATAGGTAAGTGGGGCCGCAGTCCTGACTTGTCCCGCTCTCAATTCTGTTCAAAACAGCTGAGGCAGATGTGGTGGTACACACCCATATTTTAGAGGTGGGCTACATGGGGAGATATTCCCACCTCTCCCAAAAAGAGCCTGAAGTCCAGTGCATGGGGGAAGGCGGGCATTAATTTTAACCAACACTTCTTATTTGCATCATAACTAAGAAATTGGCAGAGGGCAGAAATGGCTAAATAGAAAATGGATGTGAGGAGCACAGTGGGTGTCATTCCAGGCCTCTGGGACTGTTCTGAGCAGGATGGTATGTGAACTGGCCTTTAGGAGTGCTAGTGCAGTCAGAATATGGCGAGAGTACTTCAGGCGAAACAGCAGGAGCCGGTCTCCGTGGTGAAGTGGCGGTAATGCATGTGTGAGAGTAAGTGCTAAGGCTGGAAAGGAGGCAAAGGACAAACTAGAGAAGGCCGGGTAAGAGGTGCGTGTTCTGTGGGCAGTGGGGAGCCACCAGATGCTACAGAGTGGGCCAGAGTTGTGCCGTCTGACCTGTATTAGAGACAGCTCTCATGTCTCTAAAAGGAATGTTTTGAGTGGGTGGATGGGGGCAGCTACAGGAACTCAGCTTAGAGGCAGCAGTCATTTAAGAGAAGAGATGACTCAGATGTATCAAAGAGGAGTGTGGACAGCACCTGGGCATCCCTGGATCTCCAGGAATCTCTGCCATCCCCGCCCCCACGGCCCCAGCGTGTGTGCATGGCTGTTGCTGCTGGGCAGGAGAGGCATAGTGCTGTGTCATTTCTGGAGTGCTGCCACAATACTGGAACCTTCTACAAGGGGACACAGAAAACGGTCCTCTTCCAATTCATTCTCCCAACAAATATAGCCTCAGGGCTGCAAGGACACAGGTGCCCACAGAGCTAGCCTTCTCACCCAGCTCCTCTGCCTGGCAGCCTCTGGGCTGAGCTCTTCACAGCCAGTCTCTCTAATCTGAAGGAAGTGTGGTCTGTGGAATCAGGTGGGAGTTTCGTTTTGATTCATAAACCTGCATCCAATTTCACAAACGTTCATTGAGTGCAGACTCAGCCAGCCCACAAACACAAATCCAAAGGGAGTCTGAATAAGAAATGGGTAGCGCTGGAATCCATAAATAACCCCTCCTGCCTCACAGGGAGCCTCCAGCAGCCTGTGGCTCCTCACGTTTGGTAGAAACAGGAGGCACAGAGGCCGCCTCGGGTTGCAGCTTACCAGGTAAGGCCATCCTTACCCAGAGCTACAGGATGCCAGAGATGCTGAGTCTGTATGCCATTACTCATTCACTCCCCCACCATCCGTTCATTTAACAAGCACTAGGTGAGCAAAGACTACATGCCAGGCCCTGTCATAGTGGATGCTGGAAATGGCAGGTGATGCAGCCAAAAGTCCCCCCTCTGTCAGCTCCCTCAGTCAGCAAGCCAGGGTCCCACAAGAAGCAGCAGTTTTAGGCCGAGGTCATGTCTCTCTTCCTGGAAGAAGATGCATTGTTTTGGGTGAGACCAGCACAGGGAAACCCCAAATCATAGAATCATATAAACCTGGCAAGAAAGGCAGTCAAGGAGACCTTCAAAAGGAACACTGGAGAGGAATGTATCTCAGTTGGTAGAGCATTGGACTGATGAGTGATGCCCGAGTTTCATGCTCAGCACTGCAAAAAAATAAAAGTAAATGGGAGGCATCCGAAATAAAACCTACTGCCAGGCAGTGGTCTACAGAATGAGTTCCTGGACAGTCAGGACTACCCACACAGAGAAACCCTGTCTCAAAAAGGAAAAAAAAAAAAAAACAACACAGGACTGTGTGTGCAGGCTATAGAGAAATATGATATCATTCATACAAAAGACATACATGCTAGAATATGTTGTGGTGGTTTTTGTTTTGGGTTTTAAGACAGGGTCTCACTATGTAGCCCCAGCTGGCCTGAACTCACTGTGCGTACCAGATTGGTCCGAGTGCAGTGTGCTCCTGTCCTGAGTGCTGAGATTGTAGGTGTGAACTACCACACCCTGAAAGAGTTCTCATAACCTTCCACTTGGCTGAGAACCACACCGATAGCCGTCACCAAATAATCTTAAGCTTTCAATGACTTTCCAGAAACTTAAAAAGGCCGCTCCTGGGAAGCTGTCCATGGACATGCTGGTCCTAGAGGAGGAGAAGCGCCTTGGGATGCAGAGTCCCGCTTTGCAAAAGGTTAAGGTAAGTGGAGGACCGATGGCAGGGCAGCTAGACTCCCTACCCAGCTCATCTCGCTGCCAGCTGAGCTCCTGAATCATCCCAGTTCCCCAGTCTTCGCCTGAGTGTGGAGGTGATGAATCGTCTCCATGCAGGGCCAAGAGCGCGTGCGCAAGACATCCCTGGACCTGCGGCGCGAGATCATTGATGTGGGTGGGATCCAGAACCTCATAGAACTGAGGAAAAAACGCAAGCAGAAGAAACGAGATGCACTGGCTGCGGCCCAGGAGCCACCCCCTGAGCCGGAGGAGATTGTAAGGGTCCAGGGATGGACAGATGTGGGCAGGGGGAGCCTGGAAAGCCCCGAAGTTCCCTACTATTCTGTGAGTGGATGCTCTTCCTGCAGACCGGCCCTGTGGACGAGGAGACCTTCCTGAAAGCCGCAGTGGAGGGGAAAATAAAAGTCATTGACAAGTATCTGGCAGATGGAGGTTCAGCAGACACCTGTGATGAGGTGACAGCCCCCTCCAGTGCCCCTGCCTCCCCTGTAGGTCCACCACCATAGCCGGCTCAGGTCCTGGATCTGCTCCCTCTCAGGGCTTGTTTGAGAAAACTCACGGATGCTCTTAGGGTGGACGCTTCCTCCCTCACTCCACAGCTTCCCAAATCCTTTTTAGACCTTTCCCCAGCTGAGACCACATCTGTAACAAGTGCTACATGTGTTTCTGTATAGGAGATGAAGGAATAGAATCCAGTTAAGAGAGCTCAGGCTCAGGAGATTTGGGCTGAAACCCTATGTCTCCACTCCCTAGCTGTGGGACCTGTGACTGGGCTGTTACCTCTCCAAGACTCAGACTCTGCTACTGCCTTCCCATTATGTTATGATCAAATGGACCAATGAGCGTTGAGTGGGTGGGAAGATTATAAAGCACGTGCTGAGATAGGATTCTTTCTTTCTCATGGCATACGCTCATGCTCCTTTTTATAATTACATTTATTTATCTTGAGACAAGGTTTCACTGTGTAGCTCTGGCTCTCCTGGAACTCACCATGTAGACCGGGTTGTCCTTGAACTCACAGAGATATGCCTGCCTCTCTGCGTCTGTGTTCTGGGATTAAAGCCATGCACCATTGTTTATTGATTATTAATATCATTAGTATTATTTGCAGTGCCAGGACATTGTGTGTGCTGGGCGAGTCTCATCCCAGCCCCTGGTTTTATTGTTCTGTGGTGGAAGTATATAACATGAAATACGTCATGCTGATTCGGAGTGGCGCTAATTACATCACAGTGTTGTGTGACTATGGCCACCCTCTGGTTTTTAAATTTTCCTGTCACCTGTGGTACTTTTTTCCTCTGGAATTGCCTCTTGGTACTTTTCAGATGCTCTCACCTCTCACACGGGACCAAGCCTGCCAGTGGCCGCCCACCCTTGGGCCTGCTCTGCACTGTACTAGACTACAGCTTTTCTGTTCTTTTGCCTCTCGGGTCTTAACCTTTTTTCTCCCATTTCCTGTAAAATAAGAGTACAAAACAAGAAAAAACGAGAGGAAGGCCATGAAAGACTGCCATAGCCAGATTATCAGCGTGTAGAAAGACTTGAATTCCCTGAACCCAAAGCAGAAAGTGGCCTTAAGAGAGGGAAGTTTGTTCTTTCCTCGAAATCAGCAATTAGGTGTGACCTGCACATCTGGACCCTGCCTAGCACTTGGGGAAATAGAGTTCAGCCCGCCAATGCTCCCTTGTACTCAGGAATCACCTGGGAGCAGCTTGGCATGGAGGTCTCAGTGAAATCATGGCACATGAGCTGTGAGTCACCACCAAGCATCCTAGCACATGAGGGCCGAATAGCTGTGCCCAGCAGAGAGCCAGCTGCACCAGCTGTGTGAAGGCTGGCTGGCTGCTTGGGGACGAGGGAAGAGGCTGGAGCACCAGGGCAGGCTCCAAGGCCAATCTTAGTAAAATCTGGCTCGACACAGAGCACATGGACACCAAGTTTTGGCAGGGCCAAGACCTCAGTTTGATGGGGTATAGGCTCTGACCTGGCACTCAGGCCTGACAGTCTCTCTGGGGACAGTTCCGTCGGACAGCCCTGCATCGAGCTTCCCTGGAGGGCCACATGGAGATACTGCAGAAACTTCTGGAGAATGGGGCCACCGTGGACTTCCAGGATCGGGTGAGACGGCAGGTATTGGGTGGGAGGTAAGAAGTGGATCTAGTATCAGTAGAATTCTACTTCCTGTCAATTGGCAGCAGGCTGCCAATAGGGGCAGGCCCTATCTCTGTGTGTTCTGTGACATTGGGTAAGCCCCATCTCCCCGCTGAGTTGCCTCTGTGACTCTCACTTGGACTAGTTGGGCCCTGGGTTGTCTGTCTCACTCCCTGTTGCTTTTTTTTTTTTTTTTTTTTTTTTTTTGTTCTTCACCTTCTCGGCCTCAATCCTTTCCCCAGAAAACGTTCTCCCCTACAGTTCTGCCACTAAATGCCACCCATCCCTTCTAGCTGGACTGCACAGCCATGCACTGGGCCTGCCGTGGGGGACACCTGGAGGTGGTGAAACTCCTGCAGAGCCAAGGAGCCAATGTCAACGTGAGAGACAAGGTGAAGCTGCGGTGCTCGGTGCAGTACACACTGGGTGCTGCAGGGAGGGAGGGGCCCCAGGGCAGGTAAGTAGTGGGCTAGCCCAGGGTCTACAGTGACCGTGGAGAACTTCCAACCCTTCAGGAAGCTTGGGAGCAGTGCTGAGAGGCGAGAGAAACAAAAGACTACTCTCGAGGAGGTGTGGCCCACTGCGAGGCTGTAGGATTTGCATATCCATGCCATCCTTTATCATCCACCTGACACACAGCTTATCCATTTTCTTACTAATCTATCATCCTTGTGTCTGTCCATTTCTTTACATGCAATCTTTTTTTGGTTTTACGAGACAGGATTTCTCTGTATTGTTTTGGAGGCTGTCGGTCCAGCCCGGCCTCCCGGCCTCGAACTCACAGAGATCCACCTGCCTCTGCCTCCCGAGTGCTGGGATTAAAGGCGTGTGCCACCACCGCCCAGCCCTACATGTAATCTTGACCTCTGAGATACTGTTCTTCAGCTGTAAAACTTGTGGGTTCTTGTGCAGATTAGGAGGGGAATGTTTGTAAATGAATTACTTTTTAACACATGAGGCTTTTTCCATATCTGTCACAGCCATCCTCAACTAACGGTATCTGATATGATTATTAAAAAGAAGCTGGGCATGGTAGTACACACTTTTAACTCCAGAACTCAGGAGGCAGAGGCAGGAGGATTTCTAAGTTCAAGGCCAGCCTGGTCTACACAGTGAGATTTTGTCTCATTATTTTAAAAAACTGGGCTGGGAGGGTGACTCAGTAGTAGCATCCTTGCTTAGCACGTGCAAGACCATTGGCTCAATCCTCAGTATCCCAATGAATAAACTAGTCAATTAATTAAAAAAGAACCTAGGCATAAGCAGTGCCCCTCTGCAATCTCAGCACTGAGGAGACAGAGACAGGAGAATTGAGAGTTTGTAGCTACCTGGGCTACCCAGTGAGACCCTGTCTTTTTAAAAAGAGTAGAGGGGTGGACAGTAGTAGCTCACTGCTAGGCCAGAGGGGAAGCACAACAGGCCAGCCAGAGGAGGCAGCACTTAGAGCTGTATAATTAGACTACTGGGAAGCATAGTGGCATGTTGTACCATTGTCTCCTGTCCAAGGCTCTGGCCTTGGCGCTTAGACTTGGAAGTAGGAATGTGCTGGAGATAAGATAGCTCCCCCACCCCAGAACACCATATTCTAGCCCGTGTGCCCACTGTCCTGCTTCCTCTCCACACAGCTCCTGAGTACTCCCCTGCATGTGGCTGTCCGCACTGGACACGTGGAGATTGTGGAACACTTTCTTTCCCTGGGCTTGGATATCAATGCCAAAGACAGGGTGAGTGCTTGCTTCCTTCCCTGCTCAGCCACCGTGGGTCTGAGGGCAGCTCGCAGGGTGCCATGGGTGAGTAGTCCTTCCCAAAAGCACTCTAGGGCTGCAGCTTCTGAGCCGTGCTATCTACCCCGACTCTAGGAAGGGGACAGTGCCCTACATGACGCTGTGAGACTCAACCGCTACAGAATCATCAAACTGCTGCTCTTACATGGGGCTGACATGATGGCTAAGAACCTGGTGAGTTTATTTCTCCGGCTTGGTGCAGGGTGAGCACCTAAAGCCGTGGCTGCATAGTGGGTGGTCTGCAGAGGCAACGGGGCAGCCCCAGCTGAGGCACACATGCCATTGGCTCTTGCCCACGCCACCCTGATCACCTACCTTCCCAGAGCTCTCTATCAAGGTCCAGACCACAAGTTTAGAGAAACAGTAGGAGGGGCGGTGAGAGGACTTTGCCAAGGTCCCCATATATGGCAAAGGGGATCCCAGTGTTCAGGCCCAATCCTGGAGGTCCGGATGGAAGAGAAGCCAAGTCCTTGGTTGGTGTGACCATTCTAGCATATCAAACGGTGGGCCTCAGGTTTTCTGAGAATGGATGTCCTCTGATCCAAGCCTATGTTTTAGTCCACAGAACAATCACAAAGGAGGGGCATGGAAAGGTTCCTCTGTCACAAGAAAGGCTAAGGGACACTGAGGAGGTCGAGGAGCATGCGGAGAGGGTGTGGATGGTCCCAGCTTCAGCACTGCAGGCATTGGTGCTGGACAATTCACAGTGAAGGGACTTTCCTGTGCCTTGTAGGAGGGTCATGCAGCATCCCCGCCCTCTGCCCACTGGACACCAGTAGCACCCACAACCTCTAACTGTGAACTGCAAGATGTCTTTACCCCTGGGCATTTGCCTCCAGTTGCGAACCACAGATGTAGCCAAGAGCAATTTCTGGTGGGCTGCTGAAACCTGAATAGTCTCCTATTTTTTTTCCAGGCAGGAAAGACCCCAACGGACCTGGTCCAGCTATGGCAAGCAGACACCCGGCATGCCCTGGAGCACCCTGACCCAGAATCAGAACAGAACGGACTGGAGAGGCCTGGGAGTGGGCGTGAGACCCCCCAGCCTGTACCAGCCCAGTAAATACCTACCCCAACTGGGCAGTAGTCCCTACTATGAGCTGCCTGCAGCCAGTCTGGCAGGAACACTCAGACTCAACACAATAAAGTGCTGTCTTTGCTATTTGTGGTGTTTGGGTCCATTTGTGCTCATGCAGGAACGAAGACTGGGTGTGAACTTGGGAACAAAGGGAATGTGGAATCCCTTGACTCCAGAGTTAAGCAATTTCCCTACTCTGGCCTGGCCTTGCCTTGTCTGCATCATCCTGTTTTCTTCCCTAATCCCTAGAGCCAGGATTGGGATATATTCTTCTCAGTGGTATACCGGTCCTCTGCCCTCCATCCGCAAGACTGTTCTATGGAGGTGTGTGTCTGTGTGTGGCCAGCAGAGGGATTACAGCCTGGCAGAAGCCAGGTGGACAGGAGGCGGTTTTTTTTTTCACAACTGCTTCTTGAGCTGCCAGTGACTGGTTACTGTGGGGCGGGGCCAGGTCAGTTCAGCCAATCACTGCGTCAGGCTCAGACCGAGGGTGTGTGTGTGTGTGTGTGTGTGTGTGTGTGTGTGTGTGTGTGTGTGTGTGTGTGTGTGTGTGTGTGTGTACGCACGCTCGCGTGCGCGTGTTGGGGTGGGGGTAGCTCCGGGCTTTGGGCCTGTGAGAAGAGGGCCCAAGGAGCCAGCTCTCTTTCTGGCCTGGGTTGTGGCAATTCTCCTGCTGCTTCCCAGCAGCCAAGAAGGCCCGCGTGGAGCTACTAGGCCCGCCCTTAGGCTGCACTCCCCACAAGTCCACAAGTTGTGGCTTGAGGAAACAAATTTTTAACAGGGTCTGTTGATTATTAACAGTGAGAAAAGGAGTCCAAACTCAGCTCCCCTGTGGCTTCAACTCTCCTGCAGAAATGCTAAACCCCAAGATGTGGGCCTCCATGAGGCAGGGGTTGAGCAGGGGCTTGTCTAGGAATATGAAGGGGAAGAAGATAGACATTGCCGGCATCTACCCACCCATTACCACCCCGTTCACCGCCACCGCAGAGGTAGACTATGGGAAACTGGAAGAGAACCTGAATAAACTCAGCACCTTCCCCTTCCGAGGTAAGAGGGCCGTTGGGGAGCCAGATCCAGGGAGGTGACACAGGGCTGACACCGTGGATGGAGCCCCATCTGCCTTTGTTTCCCCAGCTGTGGAGGGCTGAGGCGCCTCAGCTCCCGGGCTATTGTGGGGATCACGTGGGACAGTGAATGAAGGCATCCATGTCTACCAGGCCCTCTGCTGATGGGAAGGTGGATGGCAGTTGGCCCAGTCACATGACAGTGTGGCCAGCAGTCGCCTCCTTTCCTTCCAAGCCTGCCTGGCAGAACTACTTCTCAGTGTGCTGGTACCTCTGCTTTACCCCTGTTTCACCCAGGGTCCGAGAGATGTGGTCACTGTTCAAAACCACTCAGCTAACACATAGCTGAATTGAGATTTGGACTAGTCGATTACACGCTCTGTTCTGTCCACTGATTCTAACACCTCCTAAGTTGCTGGATCTCCCTCAAAGACTGTTGCAACAGATGCTGTTTGGTGGGCACCAGTTTTGAGACTGGTGTGGCTCTGACTGAGGTACAGGCTATCAGCTAGGATAGTGGCCTCGAGTTTCCAATTACAACTCTGCCAACGGTCCTTACTATGGGTTGCTCTATGTCTGTTTCCCCATATGACACATGGGGGTGATAAAGTCCATATCATGGGGTAGCTAGAGGAAGAGTCCAGAATAATGTGAGTAAAAGCATGGTGTAAATCCAAGAATGCTATTCATTTGGAGGTATTGATTACTGAGATGATGATTATTAAAAGTACAAGTGACATTGTGGCAAAGCTGCCTTGTGACAGTGACTGGTGGCCCAGCTGAGCCCACTGCAGTGGTCAGGTGATATGAGTGTTTGTCAAGGGACAAATGGCCTATGGGTTCACATACTGAACAGAGCTAGTGCATCTGCTGGACATTGCTTATGGTGGTCTGGAGTCAGGCTGAGACCTGATTTCCTTAAAGTAAAGCATGAAAATTCTTAGCTTCAGAGAACACTTTGCTTCAGCTTAAGGATCAAGAACACTCTAGAGCAGGGGCCAGAGGACTGGCTTTTGTATCCACGGTGTTTCTGCCATCCAGGAGTGCACGGGGACCTCCATATTCCTCTCTGGACCTGCCTTTTGCCTCCCTAACTCCCGTCACCAGCATGGCATACCCTGGACAGTTTGAGGGGATTTGGTTTATGGGTTCCTGATGGTGTTTGACTCCTCCATTCACCACATACCAGGAAGTTGGAGCCTGTGGGAGGAAGAGTCCAGTGTCTGGAGGTAGAAGACTCCTGCTCTGGCTATCATAGCGACTAAGAAATCACAGCCTCCCCCCCCCAATCCAGTTTCCTGACTTGAGAACAGGAACTAAGCCCCCAGGCTCTCAGGCATGGAGTTCAGCATAATTCCCCCAACATGGTCAACCATACAGCTGGCATAGAGAACATAGACAGACGCAGGGGTCTAGTCACGGCTCCAGCATGCAGCCAAAACATTAAATCTGTTTCTCTTGCTTTCTGGAATAGACTTTGCAGTCCAAGGGGCAGATGGAGACAGCTGTCACGTGCTACTTGGCATCAGTGTGGGCAGCAAGTCCTCTAAAGAGGAGAGGGAAGCCTGCTCTTGGTGCTTCTGTGAACACAGAGTTTTCTTTTTCTTTCTTTCTCTCTCTTTCTCTCTTTCTCTCTTTCTCTCTTTCTCTCTCTCTCTCTCTCTCTCTCTCTCTCTCTCTCTCTCTCTCCCTCTCCCTCCTGTCTCCCTCCCTTCCTCCCTTCCTTTTTTTTGTTTTTTGTTTTTGTTTTTCGAAGACAGTGTCTCTGTGTGGCCCTGGCTGTCCTGGAACTCTCTCTGGAAACCAGGCTGGCCATGAACTCAAAGACCCACCTGCCTCTGCCTCCTAAGTGCTGGGCTTAAAGGCATGCACCACTGCCCAGCTAGTTAGTTTCTATCTTTATTTTTAAAGTATTGCTAATTTGTGCTGATTATTGAAATGAAGAGTATTCCTTTAAAAATAAAAGTTAAGGGGCTGGTGAGATAACACACTGGAAGGGTTCTTGCTGCCAAGCCTGATGACTTAAATTCAATCTCCAGAACATAAGGTAGAAGAGAACCAACTTTGCAAGTCATCTCCTGACCTCCACATGCATTCCATGATACCTGTACCCCCCAAAATTGTAAAATATTTTTTAGACAAATTAGTTATTGCCTTTTCAAATATCACATAAAACTCTACAACAGTCTGGCAGTGGCAATACATGCCTATAATCCCAGCATTTGGGAGGGAGAGGCAGGTGGATCTCTGTGAGTTAAAGGCCAGCCTGGTTCACAGAGGGAGTTCCAAGGCTACAACAGAGAAACCCTGTCTCAAAAAAACAAAACACACAATAAATATGAAAAGAATGTGTAAAAAATTTAGCCTCTATTTGCAATATAGAAAATACATGTCAGTTCTAAACCAAAATAGTTCCATTCAAGTACAAACAACAAATGATAAGGAAGATTTAAAAGCTATGCAGTTAGCAAAACAAACCGACCACCACTAGCTACTTGGGAAGGAAGAAGTGGGTCTTAATTTGTAGATAAGGGATGTCTTTGGTAGTTAAGAGAATTACCAACTCTGCAAAAGCTTGTCATTCATATACGGAAGCATCTCTCTGAGACCAAGAAAATCAGAAATGGTGTTAGTACCACAGCAAGCACAGGGTGTTGTGCACAGTACAGACTTGAGTGTGGTGCACAGGGTTTTATGGTTATAAAAGTGGGACTTGAGTAAGAGCTTCTGTAATCTTAAGCTTTTAAATTTTATTAAGTAGAATAAAAGTTATAACCAAACATGTGCCTGAACAATGACAGGATCAATAGACATGCTAACTTGGAATGGGGAAATCTCATCGGAGTCTCACCTCTAGAACGAGAACCACAGCTGACTGATAACTGCCAAGAGAAGGATTAGCTTCTCCCAGGGATGAACCCCTGAATTAGTTATCCAATACAAAGTGGTCAGCCCCGAGATCATGTACACAGGGAGTTTGCTGGTTGTATTTATGCATATACACGTAACAATAAAGAAAGAGAGGCCAACAATTGGGGAAGGAGTGAATCAGAGAGCCATAGGGAAGGTTGGACAGAGGAAAGGGAAGAGAGAAGTCATGTAATTATATTTTAATTTAGTTTTTTTTTTGAGACAGGGTTTCTCTATGTATCTCTAACTGTCCTAGAACTCACTCTGTAGACCAGACTGGCCTCAAACTCACAGAGATCAACCTAGCTCTAGCTCCTGACTGCTGGGGCTAAGGTGTGCACCACCACACCTGGCATTAATTTAAACTTTTTAATAAAAGTAAAACTTCACTTGGGAGGCAGAGGCAGGCGGATCTCTGTGAGTTCGAGGCCAGCCTGGTCTACAGAGCGAGTTCCAGGACAGCCTCCAAAGCCACAGAGAAACCCTGTCTCGAAAAAAAAAAAAAAAAAAAAAGTAAAACTTTTAAAAGGTTGTAGCCAAGGACTGGAGGGAGGGGTTGTTCGGAAGGGCCAGTGGCCCTGAACTCACCCTTGTAAACAGCCTCAGACATGGACTTTGAGTTGTTATTTCCAGTGAGGCTAGTAAACACTCACAGGGGCAGTTCACCCAGGCTGCAGTGATGAGAGCCCCTCAAGCATGGAGAGTGGGACACGGCTCCTTCTGAAAAACATCTGTTATATAAAAATTACTTGATGAAAGAAAATATTTCAAATAATATTTTTGAGGGGGATAAGAGGTTGAGACATAGGTTCTACATAGCCCTGGCTGTCCTAGAACTCACTTTGTAGACTTGGCTGGTCTTGAACTCACAGGGATCTGCCTACCTTTGCCTTCTGAGTGTTTGGATTAAAGGTGTGTGCCACCATGCCCAGTAAAAACTTTTAAAGATGATTTTATTTTTAACTTTGTGTAGGTATGTGTGCTTGCACCTGGGCATGGGCATGTTGAACACAGTCACCAGAGGAGGCCAGAGGTGTCAGATCCATTGCAGCTGGAGCTTGACAAGTGCTGGGAACGGAACTCAGGTCCTCTAGAAGAATAGCAAGTGCTTCTGACCCATTTCTCCAGCCCCTCAAATATGTTTTTTATTAAAGATTTATTTATGTATATAAATGCTCTGTTTGCATGCCAGAAAAGGTCATCAGATTCTATTATAGATAGTTGTGAGCCACCAAGTGGTTGCTGGGAATTGAATTCAGAACCTCTGGAAGAGCAGCCAATGCTCTTAACCTCTGAGACATCTCTCCAGCCCATAACACAACTTTTTACAAGGACCATCTGGGCTTTTCTGCGTGTGCTACATGTCTTGAGGGAAACAGTAGCCCAGGTCTGTTTCTAGCTCCAAATACACAGGAATTACAGGATTGTACAGGATTCTGTGGCAAATCTGGTTAGCCAGCCACTTACTCAAAACTTCATGATGCTTATTTACTGGGGCAAAAATATCTGGATCTTAGCTGGGCATTGTGGTGCACGTCTTTAATCCTAGCACTTGGGAATCTGAAGCAGGTGGATCTCTGTGGGTTCGAGGCTAGCCTAGTTTACAAAGTAAGTTCCAGCACAGCCAAGGCTGTTACAGAGAAACCGTCTCTAAAAGCAAACACTCTGGCAACACTCTGTAGTTTACGCTGGAAAGGCCCCAAGCCCTGGGTCCTGATGCTTGTCCTCGGCACTCTGCCTTCTCAGCCCATTGCTTTGTCTGCTCTCGATTGTGACCTCATATTGTTCCAGAATGAGCTCCTTCCTGGGCCCTTTCCTTTCTGAACCCTGTAATGGATCCAGGAGAGAGTGTATATTGTGCTGACAGCACTCGGGTCCTTCAGGAGATATTGACCAGGGATAGGTTCCAGTTCAGCTAAGGGTGTCCCAGGTTGTCATGGTCAAACTGACTCACTGTCCTCCGTGCTCTGGAGGCCGCTAGATGAGGAACAATGAGGGAAACCAAAGACTGGAAAGTCAGAGGGACAGAGCAGAAGAGTGTACAGCAAGGGGAAGACAGAAGCATCCCATAGCTAAATGACACTGTTTCCAGAGGGCAGGAGGCGAGACAAGACCCAACCCTTTCATAAGACTTCACTAGATCACCTCACCCCACCCCACCCCCGCTGCCTTCCTCACAATGGGGTTCATTGCTGAGGTGTCAGAGGGCCTACTAGGGAGGATGAGGCAGGTGCCTGCCTGCCAGACACCTGCGGGGCCGGAGCCCTTTCAAGCATGAACCATACCATCTGGGCTCCGCCACTCCCAGCGTGCTCTTAGCTCTGCGAGAGGCCTAGGGCCCTGGAGGACTTCTTAAAGTTCCTCCAGCAACCATCATGCAAGGTGGTGCTGGGGACTGCCCTCGTCGTGCTAGGAGGTGGAGGCCTCATGCTGTGGGCTCAGAGGAAGAAAAGGAAGACAGCCATAGAGGAGTCTTCTGGGGACAGGCCTCCCGAGTCCTGCCGAGGAAATGACAGCTGGATCAAATCTCACTTTAGCCGCCTCTCCGAAGAGAGGTTGCCCACCCACCTCTATGCCGGCGTCAACGGCTCCTCATGTGAAAATAGGCACAAGGAGGCAAACACCACCATCCACATGGATACCCTCACCTCCACACATGGAGAAGGGGGCATGGTTCTGCACCGAGATTCCTTTACCAGCAAACAGAAGGTATCTGGGACCTCAGTGACCAAAGAGACCCAGAGGGAGTCAGGAAAGACCTTGTCAATGGAGGATGACGCATGGGCTGCTGTGGCTGCATGTACCAAGGAGATCGATGCCAAGGGGCATCACCTAGCTAACTCCATGCTGCAACGTGCCAAGACTTACAAGCAAACAGGCCATGTGGAATCCAGGGACATCAGCCCAGAAGAGCTGAAGGCTCTGGAGGAGGTGGAGATAAAGCTGAAGAGGAATTTCCTCACTCATCGGGAAACCACCATAGCTGGCTCCAACCAAATGCACACTGTCTATAGCCAGAGTCGCCATGGTCACCAACATAGCCATCCAAGCCACCAGAGCCACCAGAGTCATCCTGTTCACTCCAGAGACCAGGGTCATCATTCAAGTCACCAGAGCCACCAGAGTCATCCGGGTCACTCCAGAGACCAGGGTCATCATTCAAGTCACTTGAGCCACCAGAGTCATCCGGGTCACTCAAGCCACCAGAGTCATCCAGGTCACTCAAGCCACCAGAGTCATCCGGGTCACTCAAGCCACCAGAGTCATCCGGGTCACTCAAGCCACCAGAGTCATCCGGGTCACTCAAGCCACCAGAGTCATCTGGACCACTCAAACCACCAGAGTCACCAGGGTCAGCCAGGTGACGCAAGCCATGAGAACCATAGTCTGCCCAACCGCAGCAACCAAATCTGTGACTCTTGAAGCCACTTAACCATGTACCCCTTCCCCCAACAGGGCTGGCTCACATATACAGGCCTGTTTTCTCTTCTATGGGGAAACCTATGTGGTCTAGGGTAAGAGGCTGCCACCCATGTCCCTACTTCTGGCCCCAGTTGGCGTCATGAGTAAGGGAGGAGGGGATGCAGCTACCACAGCCCACGGGCCCTGAAGACCCACAAGAGAAGACATGAGGCAGATTACAGGAGCAGCCGTGAGCCCCACACTGACTCCACGTGCCTGAATGGATGGAGCCAATAAAGCCCTACCCGCCCTCCTTCTGTGTCCAGGGGATCTGTGACCAGCTGAGTTCTGGGCAGGGTTGGAGGAAAGGCTATGTCCCAGTAGTTCTGCAAGTGGGCCTTGGCTGGGGACCTCTCATTGCACCAGACTGAAAACCATAACAGTTTCCCCTGGCATCAGGTAATAGGACTAGATACTTCCAGAGGTTTCAAACCCACCTGCCTACCAAGAGACCAGGATGGAGTCAGGTGCTGGGGAAGAGGGAACCAGGGTCGGGCTTCAGCAGAGAGTAAGCCATAAGTCACCCAAGTGGGACTTTGGGCCCCATCCTCTTGGTGTCATCTCAAGTCCCTGGGGTCCATGGGGATCCATGTGTCCACAGCTCTAAAGCTGGAAGAGACACACCTGGGTCATGTCACCATTACTATGGCTATTGCATCTACCACCATTATTCAGACTACTTAGGTCTTTCACTTGTTTTTTTGAGACAGGGTCTCACTATGTAGCCCAGGCTGTCCTGGAACTCACCATGTAGGCTAGGCTAGCCTTGAACTCACAAAGATACACCTACCTCTGCCTCCAGAGTGCTGGGATTAAAGGTGTGTGCCGCCATATCCTGGCACAGTTTTGATTTTTGAGGTAGATGTTTTGCTTCGTATTAAGCCGTAGCCATAGGGAATGTATTCTACCCTATTAGGTCCCTGTGGTTCAGAAATAAAATTCCTCGAGGTGACATAGTAAGAGACCTTAGATCCAGCTTGCTCCACAATCCCAGGAAGCCCCCTGGTTTCTGCCTCTTCCACTCTCAAGGCTCTGCTTCTCTGCTTACCCCTGACATCTCCAGGCACACGTTACCTTTCTTCTGCCCTCTTATAAATTTAGCATTCTCCCTGAGTCTTCTTCCTGGGTCTCAGTGTAAGAAATGACCCTCTACCCCCAAATAAAGCAGCCACTTCTGTGAGTTAACAAGTCACTACCTGACTCCAAGTAAATCTTTGACATAGATCTGAATCTGTTATGTATTTACCAGGGGTTACCTTGTGCACCTTAGATATCTGGGGCAAATCACTAAGGATAGCTAAGGTCATTAAAGGTGACCAGTTGGGAAGTATTTTTATTTTCTGGACACTGCTAGTGTAAATTTGTATGAATTAAATTTTAAATGTTTTAGATTTACTGTTGACATCTGATATGTGCCTGTGGAGATCAGAGGACAATTTTATAGGGTCATTTCTCCTCATCTTTACATGCATTCCAGGGATTTAGCTCAGGTCATAAGGCTTGCACCACCAAGGTTGCAAGAGCTTTAGAACCCTGGACAATGTCACTGCCACAAATGTATATGAATTTTTATTTACATAATTCTCAGCAGAATAAAGGTCAACTTAAGGAAAACAGAAAGAATTCCTCCGAATGGGAGGGGTTCCACTGGAGGAATGTACAATATAATATTTCATTAAATTTTGTACCAGGCAGTAGTGGTACACGCCTTTAATCCCAGCACATGGGAAGCAGAGGCAGGCGAATCTCTGTGAGTTCGATGCCAGCCTGGTTTACAGAGCAAGCTCCAGGACAGCCAGGGCTACACAGAAAAACCCTGTCTTGTTTTAAAAAACAAAACAATAACACATTGTAATGAAGAGGCAGGATCTGGGGCTTCTGGCCAGCCAACCTAACTCAATGTGCTCCAGGCTAGGGGAAAAACTGTCTTAAAAAACAGGATAAACAAAAACAATTGAGATTGTCCTCTGGCCTCCACATAAATTTCTACCCTGACACACACACACACACACACACACACACACACGCACGCACGCACGCACGCACGCACACACGCACACATCTGCACATACATAACCACTCACAGACAAAAAGCACAATTTTGTTTTGTTTTTTTCAAGACAGAGTTTCTCAGTGTAGTTTCTTTGGAACCTGCGCTGGAACTCATTTTGTAGACCAGGGTAGCCTCAAACTCAGAGATCCACCTGTCTCTGCCTCCCGAGTGCTGGGACTAAAGGCGTGCACTACTACCACCAGGTCAAAATCGACAATTTAATTGAAAAAAATAGGGTCAATCACAGGGGAAAGTATTGGAGGCTAAAAACTTGCACAAAAGGCAAGAGAGTGGTGAGATTTGGCATCTGAAAAGATGAAATATACAAGCGCAGAACTTGAGATGGCTCAATGATGGAGCCCTGGCTGCTATGTTCAAGGCCATGGGTTTGTTCCTCAGCCCAGAAAAGACAAAGGGACATATATACCTGGGATGTCTGAAATCATGAACTCAAAGACTTACATAAAGCTTCAAATTAGCTCACAATTTTGGAATATATTTTTAAAAGTTTCAGCTAGGCACAGTGGTGCACAAATGTACTCTCAGCATGTCAGAGATAGAGAGGCAAGAGGGTTGGGAGTTCAAGGTCATCCTCAGCCACTTAGTTTAAGGCCAGCCTGGGCAACAAGAGACCTTGTGTCAAAAAAAAATTGGAAATATTTCAAGTTGACAAAATTATGTTCCTCGAGCACCCATGTTAATCCCCAGTTCTGTTTCTTGTGCTTATAAGGAAGATGTTATCGGCATTCCTCATATCCCATTGCCATCTTCAAAATTCAAGGCTTGCAAACAAACCATGAGCGCATGTCAAAGCTTTATTACAGTCCTGTTGTAAGCAAAACGGCCCATAGACAGACCACTTAAATACAGATTTTGGTGTGGACATTTTTATTAGGGGAAAAAAAAACATCAGGTGACCGTTAAGACTGATGAAAAAAGCAGCTGAGCCGGGCGTTGGTGGCGCACGCCTTTAATCCCAGCACTCGGGAGGCAGAGGCAGGCGGATCTCTGTGAGTTCGAGGCCAGCCTGGGTCTACAAGAGCTAGTTCCAGGACAGCCTCCAAAGCCATAGAGAAACCCTGTCTCGAAAAACCAAAAAGAAAAAAAAGAAAAAAGCAGCTGAATAGCCACCAGGGTCTGGCCTGAGCCATCTGGGAGGTGGCTGCTCTCCCAGATCCAGACCTAATTCCATTAAAGTTCATTGGGAAATTGCTTAAGCATTTTGTCAGGTATTTCTTCCCAGAGGGAGAAATTATAAATTACAAATTAGAGCATGTTAAAAAAAAAAAAGTTCTGCCTCAGGCCTGCTGATGCAGGATGGTTGCTTTATACCGCAGATTGGCAATACCAGCTCAGTGAGTCTATGTTGGTCATCATGAGCAGGGCTACCGTCCCTGGCTGAATGAACACACAGTAGGACAGCAGGATGCTGTGCGCTGCAGGACCCAGAGGGACAGGGATTTGAGACACCTGCGCTTGGATTTTGAGAGATCTTGACTGGCTTCAAAGACCTCCGTGAGCTACTGTGCAGAGGCAGGAGAAGGCAGGGGTTGTGGATGGAGGAGAACCCTGGTGAATTTGCTTTTGTGGTGCTTGACAGTGCGTCTAGGGCCTTGCACAACCAAGCAAGTGGTGTCCAAGACACACCCCCAGTCTGGACAGGGGTGAACATTAATAGATGGGTGAAGGCCAAGGAGAAAGCCAGAAGAAATGGCTGTGGAACTTAGAGTGAAGGAAGGAGTCCATCTGCTCTCAGTTCTCATCTTGAGGAAGAGGCCAAGGTGAGAGGGCTTGCCTGATCCCTTGGGGGGACTGAAGGGCTCCAAGCACATTTTTGCATGTGAGCACACAAAGGGAACATGGTTAAAAAAAAAAAAAAGGAACAGGGAAGGGAAGCTCAGAGGAGAAAGGCTCAGTGCTCAGAGCCCCACAGAGGAACCCCAGGGTGACACTTGAGAGGAGGGAGCAATGATGAGGCTCCAGGGGGCCATGACCTAGGATACCCCTTCTGTGAGACACTGTGCTTCCTTTTGGCCACATGCAGCCCATGCCCATTCAGTACCCTACTCAGGCCTCGCCCACCTGAGCAACTTCCACAGTGAGAGGGACTTTGGTGCAGGTGGGGGCAGTAGTTGAGTAGTTCTCCCAGCCATACTCCTGCTTTTTTTTTTTTTTTTTTTTTTTTTTTTGTTTTTCGAGACAGGGTTTCTCTGTGGCTTTGGAGGCTGTCCTGGAACTAGCTCTTGTAGACCCAGGCTGGCCTCGAACTCACAGAGATCCGCCTGCCTCTGCCTCCCGAGTGCTGGGATTAAAGGCGTGCGCCACCAACGCCCGGCTCATACTCCTGCTTTAAGGTGAACTTTTTTCCAACTCCAGAAGGATTGCACCTAGCACCCACACAGCACTAGACTCCAGTATAGGTACTTTACAAAGAGTATCCCATTTTAACTCCACTGTTTGAGAAAATAAATACCAGTATCTCCATTTTTTAGTTAAAGAAGCTAAGATTTGGTTAAGCCATTTCTTATATTTCTCTCTTTTAAAAAATAATTTATACACATCTGTGTATATGTGTCTGTCGTGTGTATGTGTGTGTGTGTGTGTGTGTGTATACATAACCACTGAGCCATCTCTCCACCTCCTCCACTTTTTCCTTATAAATTATTACTTTGAGATAGGATCTCCCTATATAGCCCCAGACTGGCCTTGTATTCATGATCCTCTCGCCTTGGCTTCCTGAGTGCTAGGGTCACACGTGTGTGCCTCCATGCCTGGTGGCTAAGTCATTTTCTCAAGACCTCACTCAGTTGGTAAGAGGACCAGCCTGAGAGCTGGTCCAGGATTTTTGGCAAGAGCCTGTGTCCCAACCATTTACTGCTCTGTGGCTGCTTCCCTGGCCCTTAGTGCCTGGGGACCTTTTATGTGGTCGATGCAAATGTCTCGGGCCTTTGATTGGACAGTAGCTAGAGTGAAGGAGGGGACTTTTCTGCAGCACCAGCTCCCAGATGTCAGGGCTTTGTGGAGCATTTTCCTAGCTGAGCTTTTGGAACGACTCTGTCAGATAGGGCTGGAATGAGTTGTCATTTCACAGAAAAGGAAATGGAGACTTAAAGAAGTGACGACTCCCCAGCCTGCATGCTTGGGAGTCAGGTATAAGTCAGGTCTGATTGTGGGTGGGAGGGTGGGAGGCAGTGGAGGGACGGGGGGAGTGGCAGGGAATGAGGGAGTAGGAGTGAGAGTGAGAGGCTCTGCCACAGGAGACTGGACTGTAGGGCCTGCTGCTGCCTCCCGGGGCATTAGACCCTACTGCCCTGTTTTGAGATCCACCTATGGAGTCCAGGAGCTTGTCTGAGTATGAGATTAAGAGTGACTTGGGAGTGACTATAGCTGGGCTAGGGAACCACAGTATAAACCTGTCACAACTTGAGGTAGCAGATAACCTTGGCAACTAAATAGAAGTGGCACGATCTTGGTCTTGAAACAGTGGAGGGTTGGTCCATGTTGGCTAAATGGGAGTCCTCGCCGGGCAAGCGGCTTCTTCAAAGGGGCCAGACACTCCCAGGAAGTAGTGAAACCTCCTGTACCAGAACAAGAGGCTGTACCTTCCCAGTCCTGAGGAATTGGACTCAGGACATAATCAAACTGAAGCCAAACCCTATTTGTTTCAACATGTTCCTTGTAGTATCACAAAGGAAAAGGAAAAGTCACTGTCCTAATGCGTTGGTGAACGACATGGAAAAGGTGTGTGTATGAAGTTGAGTGGACATCACACTGTGTCCCGTGAAGGGTGACTCACAGGAATCCTTTCTCTTGGTGTCAGTGCCAGGAAACTCTGTGTTTCTCCAGGACAGTTGCTTTGCTCTTATCTTCCAGTTTCTGCGTGTCATTAGGGACCACATTGCTCTTTTAGCAGTGACTACTGGGAACACGCTCATTAAATTTAGGGCTTGTTACACACAGTTGTGTGGCATGGATTTTGTATGCGAATACTCTCCCAGCTTTGTTGTCTCTTTCTTCCCCCACATTCCTATTTATTTATAATCCTAGCGTATTGGGTGCTGTAATTGTACACTACTTGTAATTCTCTCTCTCTCTCTCTCTCTCTGTCTCTCTGTCTCTCTGTCTCTCTCTCTCTCTGTCTCTCTCTCTCTCTCTCTCATTTTTCGAAACAAGGTTTCCCTGTGTAGCCCTGGCTGTCCTGGAACTCACTCTGTAGACCAGGCTGGCCTCGAACTCAGAGATCCATCTGCCTCTACCTACCAAGTACCGAATTAAAGGAATGTACCACCACTGCCTGGCTAACTACTTATGATTTTTATTGTTTGTTTGAGACAGGGTCTCTCATATCCCCCAGGCTGGCCTTGAACACTTGATTCCACCACTCAAGTGCTAGGATTACAGATGAGGTTTTTTTGGTTTGGTTTGGTTTTTAGAGACAGGGTTTCTCTATAGCTTTGGAACCTGGCTCTATAGATCAGGCTAGCCTCAAACTCACAGAAATCCACCTGCCTCTGCCTCCCATTGGGATTAAAGGCATGCACCACCACCACCCAGCACAGATGTGGGGTTTTGTTTTCATTTTTTCCTTTGTTTGTTTGTTTGTTTTAATGGAAGGACATTGTCTTTGTTAACTTTCCTAACACTGATAAAATACCCTACCTGAGTGAAAAACAGAAATATAAAGAAAAGGCCATGACTGCTCCTAGGTAGGGCAGAGGGTAACATTTATTGTAGATAAAATCGAGAACAAAGCCAGAGGCAGGGACATCTGGGAGAGTTCAGAGTGGACATGACCCTGAGCCATGTGAGGAGAGAGGGGAGAGGAAAGGAAGCAGATGCAGCAGCTAAGGCAAAATGTGAAAGGGGCAAGTAATCCAGGCGGTGGTGGCGCACACCTTTAAGCCCAGCACTGGGGAGGCAGAGGCAGGAGGATCTCTGTGAGTTCGAAGCCAGCCTGGTCTACAAGAGCTAGTTCCAGGACAGCCTCCAAAAACAAAACAGAGAAACCCTTTCTCGAAGAAACAAACAAACAAACACAAAAGGGGCAGGTAGCCAGAATGGCTGGATTCTATAGGGTAGAGCCTGGGGGCAGAGGCAGACCAGCCCTGGCCTGGGGAGGGGAGGGGTTGGGGGTGAGGAGGTTGACATACCCCATAACAGGTAGAGACTGAGGGATGCTGGGAGTACCTGGTGGCTGTTTGTCCCAGGATTTGAGACTTAACACTGACAAAAGCAATTTAAGGGGGAAAGGGCTTATTTTGACTCAATATTTGAGGTTACAGTCCATCCTGGAGAGGTGGACATCACAGTCCAGAATCCCAACCCAGGGAATGGCACCGCCCACAGTGGACTAGTCATCCCTCTTCAGATAACCTAATCAAACAACCCCTACGGGCACACCCAGAGCTTGGCTCCTGGAATGATTCCAGAGCTCATCAAATTGACAATTGAGGTTAACCAACACGGGCATGGAGAAGAAAAAGAAAAGGAAAAGAAAATAAATGGGAAAACACAGGAGGGAGGTTCTGACAAGAGTGTTGCTGCTGCTCGGCTTTCAGAGAAATAAAAATGTTGGCATCATTAACTGATTAGGGTTAGAAACCGCTCAAACAAATGTTTGATAAAGCAGGAGGGTGAGCCGGAAGCACATGCCTTTAACACCAGAGGCAGATGGATCATGAGTTCCGAGCCAGCCAGTGCTACATAGTGAGACCCTGTCTCAAATAAAACCAAACCAACAGGGTGACACAAGAAGAAAAAAAAGACAATACCAACTTTGACACAGAAAACTGGCAAACGTTAGCCCTGAGGATACACAGAATTGACATGGCTGAACACTAGCAGTTAACCTTCCTGCTGTGGGGGGGGGGTGTTGACCAGTGGGAAGCATGGCACCCAGGAAGCTACACACAGACACGACTGTCACACCTAACTATGGGAATGTAAAAGGAATTCATAGACATAGCCAAAGATCTTTCCAGAAAATGTTTGTTCCAGCATCATTTGCAGCAGCAAAAAAGTCTAAGTGTCAGATTACATAAGCTGGTTCCATTTATCTGAAGTGTAAATGATCTTATCCATGGGTCCTTGTCTATATTAAAAGTGTATAAAGACACAAAAGAACAATAAACACTTGAGTTGGGACAGAAAGCCCAAGAGGAAGGTAATAGGGAGGGTTGTCGTGGATGCTGGCACCATGGGTGCAAGTTATAGACTATTCTTTCTGGAATACTTAAAAGCATTTCACACAAAGGAAAATGGTGGGCACAGTGCTGTGCATCTGTTGAGAACCCTCTGTTTATGTCAGGACAGGGATGGGAAGGGTGGGTGGAAGGTAATCCTGGAGACAGTGTAATACCGGCATCCTGATATTCCTGAGAGGGTGGGATGGGTAGATTGCAGTGATGGGGCTCTGTTGTAGGCTTCGTGGTCCAGGGCTCTACTGGAGAGTTTCCATTCCTGACCAGCATCGAGCGCCTGGAGGTGGTGAGCCGCGCGCGACAGGCCATACCCAAGGACAAGCTCCTGATAGCCGGCTCTGGCTGCGAGTGTGAGAACACAATGCCTTGGGACCTGGGCTTGCGGGGTTGTGGGGGATCCAGGCTCCTGGGCCCTGGGGTTGGGTTCTGCCCATTGCTTTGCCTCTGCTGGGACCCAGTGAGGCCCTCTTTGCTTGCCTTCTCTCCTCTCCCTCACTGCAGCCACTCAAGCCACAGTAGAGATGACCGTCAGCATGGCTCAGGTTGGTGCTGATGCCGCCATGGTGGTGACTCCTTGTTATTATCGTGGCCGCATGAGCAGCGCGGCCCTCATTCACCACTACACCAAGGTAGGTGGGAGGAGTGGCCATGGATTACAGGCCTGGGATCAAGAGGAGGTTGTCAGAGATGGAGTCCATGCCTAAGGAAAAGCTAGGAGTGGAGTAGAGAGCCTATATCATGTTAATATAGTCACTCTAGGACCTAGGTATAAGGCCATCATGTACCAACTGTGTGACATTAGACCACTTACCAGACCTCTCTATATCAGTGTCCTTTAAAACATGAAGACTAGGAGCTGGAGAGATATAGCTCCATGGTTAAGAGCTCATAATGCTCTTACAGATGGCCCAAGTTCAGTTCCCAGCACCCATGTTGGGTGGCTTGCAACCATATCTAACTCCAGTTTTAGGGGATCCGAAACCTCTGGCCTCTGAGAGCACCATCACTCATGTACATATACCCACACACACGCACACATGACTAAAAAATAATAAAATCTATCTAAAGAAATGAAATAAAACAGGAAGAGTAAGGCCTTCTCCAGGGCTATACAAGGTCTGCAGCGTACATAGCTTGGAGTTGTTCCTGATGTACAGACAGCACTCAGAAGCTTCCCATCATTGCTCCCCATGCTTCAGGAGGCAGACCTGTCGCACAGCCCTGCAGTGACACGTCCAGCCTCCGGTCCTTCAGACCCAGCCACTCATCATCTCCTCCTTTGTGCCCCACAGGTGGCCGATCTTTCTCCAATCCCTGTGGTGTTGTACAGTGTCCCAGCCAACACCGGGCTAGACCTGCCCATGGACGCAGTGGTTACATTGTCTCAGCACCCGAATATCATTGGCATAAAGGACAGCGGTGGTGATGTGAGTGGCAACAGCCCCCAGACTGGGATCCCCTCCTCTTTCTCTGCTTCCAGCATGGTAGTTTCTAACCCAGAGTAGCTCTGGGACCTCTATCTGTCCCATGCTTGTTGGGTGGGCTCCCTGAGGCATTGTCTGAACTTTAGGGCATCTCTCTGGATATTGGGCTATATCTTGACAGCACGTGCCCAGCGGTCCAGGCTGGTTGCTGAGCTCTGGGGCCCAGCTCTCACCCTGCATTTACTGCCCTAGGTGACAAAGATCGGGCTAATGGTTCACAAGACTAGCAGGCAGGATTTCCAGGTGTTGGCTGGGTCAGTTGGCTTCCTTCTGGCCAGCTATGCTGTGGGTAAGTGTCCTGCTGCTCTCAAATGGTCCTAACCAACCAAGATGCACCCAGATGTTGGGACTACTGGGAGAGACAGGGTGGGAGGGGAGTGGGGGCAGGCCTGGGTCTGCAGGGAGCAGCTGTCTCAACTCTGGGTGCTTGGGCCTGGCCCTGTTGAGTGGGGGGAGGGCATAAGAGGACAGTGCTGGCCTGTAGAGATGCCTGCAGTTGCTAAAGACCCACATTCCATGCTTAGATGACAAAATTAGCTCCTCTAATATCACCCTGTAAATCATTTCCTGGGAACAGAGGTCTCAGGTCCCTGCTCTAGGCCAGGAGTCCACTTTCCTCTGCCTCTGACCATGGGACAGAATGAACGGTCAGACCTGGGGGGGTTGGGATGGGATCTCTAGCTGTCTTGCCAGATTCTCTTGCAGTCCAGCATCCTAGCAACGCCACGCAGGCCAACTGCTTTCATTTGTTTTGACAGAGGGTCTTTGGGTGCAGGTGGGATTGAGTCCTGGTGGGAGGGACAGAGGAGCAGAAGCAAGCTGAGACTGAGTAGATTTTTCGGCACTGTGGGAGACAATAGTGGTTTCCATTACCTCCGGGCTCTTCAGACTTCAGCTTTGGTCCCTCTCCCTTTACCATCATCCCACAGTCTCTAAAGCTCAAGGTGGGGGAGGGGCATTTGTAGCTCTTTCCCGATGTACAGATGGAGAAGGCACAGGGTCTGGAGGTGAGGGCAATTGAGCTGTGGTTTCAACCATGCTACTTATACACCCAGTTATCCAAGTGAAGACATTAGCCCTCACTGGGCCTGCATTTACCCTAAGAAATGAAGTGATCTGAAGATTAGAGGGCCAGCCCCATCAGCCACAGTGCCCAACACATAATATGTAATTTTTTTGAGACAATGTCTTTCTATGTAGCCCTGGTTATTCTAGAACTTGCTATGTAGTCCAGGAGGGCCTTTGAACTCACAGAGATCCACCTGTTCCTACTCCCTGAGTGCTTCTGGGATTAAAGGCATGTATCACCATGCCTGGCTATGAGTATCTTTTGTTTTAAAATAAATTTGTTCTTGTTAAATTTTAAAATTATATTTTATTTTGTATGCATATGTGTATGTGGGTGCAATATGTAATGACACATATTTGGACGTTAAAGGACAACTTTGGGAAGTTGTTCTCTTCTACCATTTAAGTCCTGGGGATTGAACTTTGGTCATCAGGCTTAACTGTAAATATCTTTTACCCACTGAGCCATCTCACTGGCCCCATAGTAGGTATCTTTCTTCCAGTCTTGAGCCGCTATACTTAGGGGCAGTCCTGACTCATCTTAGAATCTCACGCAAAGACTGAGTGTCGTGCCATGAAGCCAAGGGGAAGAAATGCTCAAGCTCCTGACCCCACATCCAGGCTGCTTTCCCACACCCTACCAGTGGTGACCTGGTTAATAGAGGAAGAAGATTTTAGAACTTCAGTTCCTATTTTCCCAGCCCCAAGACCCTGTTGGGGGAAACATGTAGATGGGAAGTAGGTGAAGGGGCTGTCTTGTAGGCTGTGCTCCCTGTCCCACCGCTGGCTCGGAGCAGCAACTGGCATGCAGACTTCTTATTTCCAACAGACAGGCAGAGTCTGCCTCTGGAAGTACATACTCTGGACACACAGGGCATGCCTGTGACATGACCCAAAGAGTATAGAAATCTACATCCCGCCGGGCGGTGGTGGCACACGCCTTTAATCCCAGCACTCGGGAGGCAGAGACAGGCGGATCTCTGTGAGTTCAAGGCCAGGCTGGACCGACAGCCTCCAAAACAATACAGAGAAATCCTGTCTCGTAAAACCAAAAAAAAAAAAAAAAAAGGAAAAAGAGAAAAAAAAGAAACCTACATCCTTGTTCCCAAAATGAAAAGGTATGGGGCCCAGGCTTTGGGATTCTCTATAGTAAGTGGCCCTGACGGATGTTCTGTGTCTCTTTTGGGCAGGAGCTGTTGGGGGTATATGCGGTCTAGCCAATGTCTTAGGGGCTCAAGTGTGCCAGCTGGAGAGACTCTGCCTCACAGGGCAGTGGGAGGCTGCCAGGACACTGCAGCACCGCCTCATCGAGCCCAACACCGCGGTGAGCTCCCAACCTGGGCTGGCATGGGGTCCCTGCTCAATCCTTCCTTTACAGAATGTCCATTTAGAGAATATCCCAGTGTGGGAGCCTCTACTGCCTCCCCAGGAAACTCCAATTGCAGAAAGGGTGAGCCCCGTCAGTTCTCAAGCTTCATGGTTCATTGGAATTCCCATGTGGGCCAGTTAAATGTCCAACCCTTTGAACATGCACTGAAACAAGTGTCCTGAGTGATGGCAACATCAGTGACTTTGGGACTATACCTAGAGGCTCAAAGCCTAGAGACAATACGCCACTGCTTTACAACAGCTTCACAGGGTACAGATGCTGACAGAGTGACTACAGCAGGGGAGAACTCGGGGTACAGACACTGACAGTCAGAGTGACTACAGCAGAGGAGAACTCGGGGTACAGATACCAACAGCCAGAGAACTGGAGATTTTCCAGGAGAGTCCTCAGAGTCATGTGCTCTGCAGCTCAGACTTTATGGTCCAGTTCTTTTGGGGGCAGGTCAAGGGGAACTCAGCAGGAATGGTCAAGATCAAAGCTATTTTGAAATCTGAAGAAAGCTGAAAAATACATATCCTTATTTTATTTATTTTGTGTGGATGGAAGTTTCTGTTCCTACTGGTCTCGTGTAGCCTTTTAGTCCCAAATAAACACACAGAGGCTTTTATTAATTATAAACTGGCCGGTAGCTAGGGCTTCTTACTGGCTAGCTCTCTCTTTAACTATTATCCATTTCTATTGAACCATGTATCTCCATCTGGTTTTGGCAGAGAATGCCCTGTCGTCATACCTCCCTGGTAGTTACATGGCATCTCTTGGGTGACTCAGTCTTCAATCCTCTTCCTAGAATTCTCCTAGTCTGGTAGCCCTGCCTATATTTCCTGCCTGGCTACATCCTGCCTGTCCATTGACTGAAACAGCTTTATTCATCAACCAATAAGGGAAACATATTCACAGTATACAGAATGACACCCCTATCAATTTTGAAAGAATTTCACTGTGTTGCCAAGGCTGGGTTTGAACTTGTTGCTTATTGCGATCCTCCTGTCTCAGCCTCCTAAGTAGCTGGGACTGTCCTGACTTTGCATTTGCATTAATATGAATCCTCATTGATCACCTTCTCTGTCTGTATCCTTAACCAGCATACATGTTAGGCTGTCTTATATCAGCTCTTTTGATAATTGGGAAGTAACACATGTTTCTGGTGGCTGAGGACATCGAACATCTTTTCATGCATTTGCTTGTCACACCCTTGTCACTCAAATATGTTTATGTCCTGTGCTCATTTTCTTTCTGGTGCTGGAAATTGTGCGCAAGCCTCACACAAAGCCATGTGCTATTCATATCAGTCCTGGCATCCCTTTTCTCTTCTTTTCTTCTCCTTTCTTTCTTTTTTTTTCTTTCTTTCTTCCTTTCTTCCTATAGCCTTGGGTGTCCTGGAACTCACTTTGTAGACCAGTCAGGACTCAAACTCACAGAGATCTGCCTGTCTCTGCCTTTCAAGTGCTGAGATCAAGGCATGAGCCATCACACCTGGCATCTTGCCCATTTTCTAAGTGAATGTCTTTCTTAATTGTTAAATTTGGAAGAACTACACACTAGTCCTTTGTTGAATGTGTACTTGTAAATATTTCCCCTAGTTTATAGCTTGTCTTTTTCATTTTATTTACATGCTTTTGGTCAATCAAATTTTAAATTTTGGAAAAAATTAACTTTTTTTGCTTTTTCAAGACAGGGTTTCTCTGTGTTGCTTTGGAGGCTAAAAAATTAAAATTTTATTGATGTCAAATTTATCAATATTTTCTTTCTTGACTCATATGATTAATGTCAAGCCTAGGAAGTCTTTGTTCAGAACTAGTGGCTAAATATATTCTCCTACTTTGCTTCCTAAAAGTTTTATAGTTGCATTGTAAAAAGTTTGTGACCCATTTTGAGTTAACTTTGGTCAAGGCTTCTTTTTTTTGCCTATGTATATCCACTGCCTCCAAAACCATCTGTAGAGAAAGCTTTCTTTCCTCTGCTGAGCTGCCTTTCTGCCTTTGTCAGAAGTCAGCGGGGCAGGTTTGTGAGAGGCTATTTCTGGGTTCTCTATTCTCTCCATTGATCCGTGTGTCTATACCTCTACTGTGCCACAGTCTAGACTGTTAGCTGCCGCATAAGGGTCCAAGTAAGTCTTGTAATAGGCTGCTTCCTCTATTTGTTTTTTTTAAATCTTCTTTAAAATCACTTGAGGTAATTGATTCTTTTGTCTTTCTATATTAATTTAGAATAATTTTGTCGACAACTACAAAAAAATCTTATTAGGAATTGTTAACCTATAGACCACTCTGGGATGACAACATTTTCCCTGTGTCATTGTTCAACATTTTTGTTTCTTGAGACAGGGTTTCTATGTGTAGCTTTGGAGCCTGGAACTTGCTCTGTAGACCAGGCTGTCCTCAAACTCAGAGATTCACCTGCCTCTGTCTCCTGAGTGCTGGGATTAAAGGCATGCACTACCACATTCAGCTACTTCATGTTTTTTTTGGGCAAGTGAAAATGGTATTTTAATTTCACTATCTGTATATTCATTGCTAGTATACTAGTATTTAGAAACATAACTCTCTCTCTCTCTCTCTCTCTCTCTCTCTCTCTCTCTGTCTGTTTCTCTCTCTCTGTCTCTGTTCATATGTGTGTGTGATGAATCCCAGGACCTCAAGCATGCTAGGCAAGTTGGTATATCACTTAGCTGCATTCCCAGCCCTACAGCTGATTTTTAAAATATTTATCTTGTATCATACAGCTTTGCTGAACTCACTTAGTAGTTCCAGGAGGGGTTTCTTGTTTGTAGATGCCTTGGAATTCTCTACATAGATAATCATATCATCTACACACAAGGGGAGTTTATCATGTCCATTTTGATGTCTACGTATTTCATTTGCTTTTCTTGCATTTCTGCACTGACTAGGACTTCCTGTACTAGGGTGAATAAAATTCCTGGCTCCTGATCTTAAAGAGAAAACACTCAGTCTTTCACACAAGTATAATGCCTTATCTAAGTTGTTGCAGATGCTTTTTATTTTATTTTATTTTTTGTTTTTTTTTTTTACGAGACAGGGTTTCTCTGTATTGTTTTGGAGGCTATCGGTCCAGCCCGGCCTCGAACTCACAGAGATCCGCCTGCCTCTTCCTCCCAAGTGCTGGGACTAAAGGCGTGTGCCACCACCGCCCGGCCAGATGCTTTTTATTAATCGAGAATATTACTCTCAATCCCCGGTTTTCTATGAATTTTTACAAATCATCAATGAGTCAAATGTTTTTTCACTTTGATTTATATGATCATGTGACTATTCTTTAGCTTGCTAACATGAACTATATAGTCAATTTTTAAAAACCTATTTATTTTTTATTTTATGTGTGTAGGTGTTCTGCCTACATGTATGTACACCATGTGCATGCCTGGTGGCCATGAAAACCAACTGAAGTTGTAGATAGTTGTGAGCTACCTATGTAGCTGCCAGGAACTGAACTTGGGTCCCCTTGACTGCTGAGCCATCTCTTCAGCCCCAAGTCACTTTTTTGTTTTGTTTTGTTTTTTGAGATGAGTGTCTCTACAGAGCTCTATCGATCCTGGAACTTACTATGCAGACCAAGATGGCCTCAAACTCGTAAAGATCTGTTTGCTTCTACATCTCCAAGGGCAGATGCCAGGCTAATCACTTTTCAAAAGTTGACACAGATGTGCATTCCTGGAAAACCCTCATTTAGTCATAGTATGTATTTGTTTTGTTATATTGCTGAAATTTCATTTAGTGATATTTTGCTAAAATTTTTATATTCATTAGAAATGGTGATCTATTTTTTCTCCTTATTTTCTCTCTCTTCTCTTCTCCCTCCTTCCTTCCTCCCTTCCTCTCTCCCACCCATCCTTCTTTCCACAGTGGGAAAGGATGCCCTTAATTCCCAGCACTGGAGATGTAGAAGATTCATCAAATGAGCTAGGGGATTTTCTTTGCTCTTCTGTTTCCTGGTAGAGATGATATGGAATTGATATTAATTCTTCTTCAGACATTTTGTGGAATTCCCCACATGTGTGGCCATGGTGATTCAATGGGATCATTGGACTACAATTATAGAAAGTTGTGAGCCACCATGTGGTTACTGGAACTGAACTCAGAACCTTTAGCAGAGCAGCCAGTACTCTTAACTGCTGAGCCATCTCTCCAGCTCTCTTTGTTGGAACTTTTATTTTAAAATTTCTATTATTGCCGGGCATTGATGGCGCACGTCTTTAATCCCAGCACTTGGGAGGCAGAGGCAGGAGGATCTCTGTGAGTTCAAGACCAGCCTGGTCTACAAGAGCTAGTTCCAGGACAACCTCCAAAGCCACAGAGAAACCCTGTCTGAAACCCCCCCCCAAAAAAAAAGAAAAAGAAAGAAAAGAAACTTCCTATTATTATTGGGGGTTGCACATGCATGTCCTACTGTGCATTGGAAAGTCAGAAGACAACTTTGCGGAGTTGGTTCTCCTACATTTATATGGGTTCCAGGGATCAAACTCAAGTCATTAGGCTTGCCTGGCCAGTGTTTTGCCTACTGAGCCATCTCCCCAGCTCCTGTTGCGGATTTTATTGATTGTGCCCCTGATACTGTATGGTTGCTATCACCCGTCCCAAATCTGAACTAGGGAACTCACCATTGCGTTGATTCTTGGTGTTAGAGGTCCCAGGTCCATCTTTCCTCTTCAATCTATCTTCAGAGTTTTCAGTGAGACAGGGTCTCACTGTGCAGCTCTGACTGGCCTGGAACTTGCTATGGCCTCTACCTCCCGAGTGCTGGGATTAAAGACCCTTATACCGCACAGAACAGATTGTACTGCCGGTTTTCTGTAACGTCCAGAGTGTTCGTCCATGGTTGTTGGAAAGAACGAGCACAATGTCTCTGTCTTCTCAAACATGAACGTTTTAAATAGTTTCCCAAGTTGTGACCCTTTCCACCCTGAATATTATAATATATATATATATATATATATATATATATATCAAAGTGGGTATATAAAACTGAGAACATTACTTACCTTAGGTTTGAATATTTTATATATACTCAATTTATAATCATTTTTACTTTCCTGGCTTTAATGGGAACAAACTTATTAAGACTTTTTCCCCTAAATCTATTTCTAGAAACAAAGTCAAGCCAACAAACAAAACATTGCCCAGGCTGCCATTGAAGTTTCTCTATAACCCAGTCAGGCCATGAAGTTATGATCCCCCTGCCTCTGCCCCCAAGTAACTGGTATGATAGGCCTGTGCCACTAGATCCTCCTTACCTTGACTGTGCTTTTGCTTTTAAGTTTTGCATCAGAGGCAAGTATGCAAACTACCTGTTCACCAACTCCATCGTGGCAGGCACTCTGTAGCAAGGGCGGGGGCGGGGGTGTTCTAGGTTTCCTGCCTAGCTTGGGTCCTTTCCTCAGTTTCAGAAGGACAGCTGAGAAGGAAAGGGGTCTTCTTCCTGGATGTGGAGCTCCCCACCCCCACCAGTGACTCTCAATAGTTCTAAGAACTTGCAGAAAAGAAGCCTTCTAGATAAGGGAGGCTGGGACTGCCCTCAACACTCTGGCCATTCCCCTGGGGTGGAAGCCTGGTTTTCTCACTCTCATCCACCTCCAGGAGAAAAGGGCCCCCATGTCTGCATCCTGCCAGGACGGAGGGGGGGGGGGAGTGGTGTCTCCAGCAGGCTTGGGGACTGCTGTGATTCTAATGGTGTTTGTCATCTGATGCTTGAGTCACTTCTATGGGTAGGTGTTGATATCATCTCACTTTACAGAGGAAGTGGTGTTGGCTGCCCCCATGGGAAGATGGGAAGCCCCTCCCTTCAGGCTGTGTCCTCCTATGCCAGCCCTGGGCACACACTCAGGAATGCCTGGAACACCTTGTTGCTGCTGCCTGAGCTGTAGGCTCAGACACTCCAACAGCAGCCTGATGTCACTTTATTGCCCTGTTCTTGTCCAAGGCATGTTCTTCTGCTGCTGCCTGCCCCCTCCAGCCAGCCTCCTGCCCCAAGCTATATTTAGGACTTTCTAAGGTCTTTGTCACCCAAACAGCTAGCCCTTTCTCCAGGACCCAGGAGGAAGTACATTGGCTATCTTCAGCACCCATGATAGCAACAAGGTTTTCTCCAGGTCCTGCACGGTTCCATCTTCTTCTGGAGGTTTTGACCAACTACAAAGCTTCCAGCTTTTAAAAGCCAGGCTGTTAAGACATCATGGGTGGGAAAACATCGGTTTGCTGATGACGGCTGTCCTCTAGTGGTGAATAGTTGTAAGCCAGTTTATCCAACATCCACCCAGCCTGTCTCCACTGAACACTTCATTGCTTTTACCCTTAACGAAACCAAACCTCTGAAGTTTCCCTTCCACCAAAATGAAGCTTTATTACATAATAGTTCTTTCTTAGTTTTTAGGTCACCGAAGATTCATTCCAATATTTCCATTCAGTTGCTATAACAAAAGGAGAGAAACTGGATGCTTTATTTATTCTGTAAAATTCCTTGTATGATTTTAACCTGTGGCAATAGCTGTAGGTGCTGTAATATGCAAGCTTTTAGAGATAATTTTTCTGGGGAAGAGAAGTTGCTCAGGCAATAAATAGTACAGTTATACATCAAACCTCCTTTGGCTAATGCTGTATTATCTTCTGTGAAAGCATTTAAATAGGTCTAGGAAGGAGCTGTGGGTGTGTGGGGGACCCTGATGTTGGGGACTGAGGACCTGGACTATGCCCAAGGCTGTCATGGAACCGTCTCCTTCCTTGCTAACCTAACCAGGTCTGCTGTGCTGCAGGGACCCAGTAGAGGCGGGACTGTGGTGCCTGGGCCTTGCCGACTTCTTCTAGGACAGCCTTCTATCCCAGCACAAGTGCTGGGTGCCCGGCTGCTTGTTGGAGCATGACTGGCGAGGTCAACCCAGTCGGGAGACAGACATGCCGGGCAGACAGAGCTTAAGTGCCAGGTTTTATTAGGAAGGGGAGGGAGGAGGAAGGAAAGAGAACAGAGGTAAAGAGACACAGAGACAGAGAGAGGACAGAAGAGGAAGACAGGAAAAGGCCTGCCTGCCCCAGGGGTACAGCGGGAAAGGAGAGCATGAGTGGGCGGGGTCTGTCTTTTAAAGGGATCCTTTGCATAGTGGCTGGCCAGAGTACTGCCTGAGTGCATTCTGCCATGTGACAGGGGCAGGCCAGCATACTGCCTAAATCCTTAAAGTAGTTTGCTTCCTAAACCCCCAAAAGGGACATTCCTCCAAATCTGGATTCTCACTGCAATCTGCACCACAGATTAGAGTTCTTTTCCAGAGAGTGGGAACCCCAACTTTATGAAGCAACAGATGCCAAGGTTCAGGTAGATGTGTCTGAGGTATGGGGGCTCCACACGCTGTCTGTTCTAACAAGTGCTTCTTCTCAGGTGACCCGGCGCTTTGGAATCCCGGGGATGAAGAAAACCATGGACTGGTTTGGCTACTATGGAGGCCCCTGTCGTGCCCCCTTACAGGAGCTGAGCCCCACCGAGGAGGAGGCCCTGCGCTTGGATTTCAGCAACAATGGCTGGCTCTGACAAGGAGGAAACACCTCGCCCGAGCCTTTTGGTACTTCCTGTTCCCACAGCCCGATGAGGAGCAGGGCATTAGGAATTGGAGCTTGTCTTAATCACTGTTCTATTGCTGTGAAGAGATACCATGACCCTAGTGACTCTTGTAAAGGAAAGCACTTAATTGGGCCTGGCTTACAGCTTCAGAGATTTAGTCCATTATCCTCAATGTGGGAAGCACGGTGGCGTGCGGCAGACATGGTGCTGGAGAAGGAACTGAGAGTTCTATATCTGGATCACACGCAGGAGGAAGAGAAAGCCATTGGGCCTGGCTTGAGTTTTTGAAAACCCCAAAGAGCCCACCTCCAGTGGCACACTTCCTCCAATAAGGCCACACCTCCTAATTCTTTCAAACAGTGCCATTCCCTAAGCATTTAATTGTATGAACCTATGGGGACCATTTTTATTGAAAGCACTTTCTGTTTTTGATGGTTTTCTTCACTGTGTAAGCTTTTCCTTAGCCGGGTGTTGGTGGCGCACGACTTTAATCCCAGCACTCGGGAGGCAGAGGCAGGCGGATCTCTGTGAGTTCAAGGCCAGCCTGGTCTACAAGAGCTAGTTCCAGGACAGCCTCCAAAGCCATAGAGAAACCCTGTCTTGAAAAACAAAAACAAAAAAAAACCAAAAATAAAAAGCTTTTCCTTAATTATGTCTCTTATGTCTCACAAGTTGAAAGCTTAGGAGGGTAGAGGCTTGCCCTGAGGTCACCATTCTCTTTATTCCAATCAGCATCAGGGCTTTCTTTAAACTTTTTTTTTCCTTGAGCCCTGACTTAGCTTCATTACACTTCCTGGTGCTTTGTTTCTCCTCAAAATGTACATTTTATGTTTTCCCTTGCTCAGCTTGCCCCTTTCTTAGATCTGCATAAGACTGGCCACTAATAACCACATGGCACAGTCAATACTAGGCTGTCTTGAAATCTGCTTTATCACAAGAACAGGCTCTGGGCCACTTAATAATATTCTTCTCAGCCAGGAGTAGTGGCACACAGCTTTAATCCTAGCACTGGGGCGGGAGGGGAGGGGAGGGGCAGAGGCAGGCAGATCTCTGTGAGTTTGAGGCCAGCCTGGTCTACAAAGTGAGTTCCAGGACAGGCTCCAAAACAATACAGAGAAACCCTGTCTCGGAAAAAAAAAAATCTTCCCCTCTGAACCCTCTTGAGCTGGGCCATCATAGCCTACTGCACTCCCAGAACCTCCTTCCATGCTTCTATTAGGATGGCCCAGTAAGCCCTACTTCAATCGTCCAACTGCTTTCCTATCCAAAGTCCAAATTCTGCCAACAAGCAGCATGGTCAGTCTGTCACAGCAATACTCTGCTCTCCAGTACAACTTCTCTTAGTGTTCTATTGCTGTGAAAAGACCCTATGACCAACTCTTATAAAGAAAAGCATTTAATTGGGGGCTTGTGGTTTCAGTTATTCAGTTACATGGTGTTGGAGAAGTAGCTGAGAGTTCTATATCTTAATCCACAGGCTAGGAAGACAAACCCACTGGGCCTGGCTTGGGTTTTTGTAAAACCCTAAAGTCCACCTCTAGTGACACATTTCTTCCAATAAGGCCACTCTTCCTAATCCTTTCAAATAGTGCCATTCCCTATGTATTTAAATACATGAGTCTATGGGGGCCATTGTTTTTGTTTGTTTGTTTCTTGGGACAGGGTTTCTCTGTAAAACAGTCCTGGCTGTCCTGGAACTCACTCTGTAGTCCATGCTCACCTCAAACTCACAGAGATCCGCCTGCCTCTGCTTCCCAAGTACTGGGATTAAAGGCGTGCACCACCACCGCCCAGCATGGCGACCATTGTTAATCAACCACCAAAGGGCTCCTTTCCCATAAGCTCAAGGCAACTTTCAGCTCCTCTTTTCACAGCTTGTGGCTTCTCACATAAGCATTCTGCACAGAGTCCCTAGAGACTCTCTACCAGGGACAATCTCTTGTCTCTTCTGAGGGTACCATTTCTTCTGCCCTAAGGTGTGTGAATCAGGGAACCTAGTGAAAGGCTAGGGAGTGTATCTAGAAACCAAGGAAGTTGGTTACTAAAGGGACCATTACTTCTGAGTTGAAGCTAGAAATCTTAAATGTGCATGATACAGCTGCAGTCGGGAATAGCCCTAACCATTTACATTCTGACTCCTTCCAGAGGAAGCAGCTGCATGGAAAACCTGATCAGAACGTGTTCCAAGCTGCATTCTAGCCACAATGCCCTCTCTTAACTCACACGTCATACATAGTCTTGTCTGTAGCTTTGATTCTCACCATTTAGTGACCGAGACAGCCCAGTCCCTTGTCACATTAGTAAATAGTGACACCTGGTGGATGGACATTTGGTCTATACTCTAGAGGACTTCTGACCAGCCCAGGTATGAATCTTGAAGACTTGGACTGAGATGGGATCATGCTTTTCTCTAGTCTGAAGACATTCTACTTTTATTATCAAAATGGATCACTTTGTTACTATAATAAAATATAACAAGTAAAACTTGAATGTCTATGCAGTAGATTTCCTGGCCTGATGCCTGTAGGATAGGCATTTTCTCACCACTGAGAGAAGCCTTAGTAATTCCAAGCAAACAGCCCACTATTAGAGGGGTAGCCTAGGAAAGCTTAATGATTATTTTTATTGTGTACACATGTGTAATTACTCATGCAGGCAGTGTGGTGACCAGTGATGTCAGGGAGTCCTCTATCACTCTCCACTGTAATTTTTCAGACACGGGTCTGACACTGAATCTGGAGTTTTTCATTTGGTCATACTGGCTGGCAGCAAATATCTGGGATCTGCTTGTTTTTATCCGTAGTGCTAGGGTTACCGGCATGCACCACTACGTCTGATCTTTATGTGGGTGCTGGGCACTCAAAGGCAGCTCCTCACGGTTTCCCAAGTTGGCTCTTGGGCTTCTTTTATAGTCACCTTCTAGAGAGGTGGGGCTTACAGACTAGGTTTACGGCTGATGGGAAAAACCTAGACCTGAGAGAAGCAGCCTAGAAAGCTGTCTGAGAGTTCAGACTCTGAGCTTTGACAGCCCCGACCCTGGTGTCTGTGAGACCTTAGGGTAGCCCCCTGATTTCCATGAGTCTCAGCTGTAATAAACATTTCTCCCAGACCTATGGGAGAGACTGAGATAAGAACTGTAAATACACAAGATAGCATGATGGGAGTGTTCTACTACTGGGTGCAGAAAAAGGGAAACGGGCAGCAGGTGACTTGTTTGAGGTCTTCCAGTAGGTCTGGCAATAACTGGTCTTGGGGCTTATATACACTGATGCTCAATCAAGTAGAAGGGAGCTGGGATCAGAAAGAGTAGGCCACAGAAATCCCATCCCGCCCTGTCATTTACTAGCCTGGACAACCTGAGCCTGCTGGTTTTAAAAACCTCATGCCTTCTACTCCACAGTGTGTGTGTGTGTGTGTGTGTGTGTGTGTGTGTGTGTGTGTAGCCATAGGTCAACTTCCTGTGTTCCTCAAAAGCTGTCCATTTTGGTGCCTGCTAATTAGGCTAGGCTAGGCTGGCTGGACAGTCACTTCCAGAGATACTCTCTTTTGTTTTGAATCCCTAGACTTGGGAGTAGAAGCATACACAACCATGCCCAGCTTCTCACATGGGTGCTGAGGATCAAATTCAGGTCTCATGCTTGCACAGCAAACACTTGACTCATTGGCTGTTCTCTCCAGCTCACCACAGGGGTTCTGAGAATCAGGCATGCAGCAAAGTGTCAGTGTTAGCTCCAAGCATCTCTCATGGATAGCTTGGAGCTATCCAAATAGCATCAGGTTGATATTCACGAGTTCCCAAGTCCAGAAAGTCATGAACATTAAGTGTAGGCAGTTGTGGTGATTGGTTTATTCCTATAAACACTTGTTTCTACAGTACAGTTCAGGCAAAACATAGAGGCACACAGCTATGATTTCCACCACAGTCTGCTGTTGAGGGAGATCTGAGGCTGGGAGCTGGGCTAACTGGAGACCTGGGGATTATTTTGGCAGGAAGATCTGTCCCAGGCCCGAGGGCCAAGATTCTTGCTTGACGAGTCACAAGTGAAATGGAGGAGCCAATGCCAGTCAGTTCACACGAGGGTGGAGTCAAGTCTTCCAACACCCAAGGGGCTGAGAGTCTGATCCATTGGTGTGCTGGGAAGGAACTCTCAGTGCAAGCCTTCCCTGGGATTCAGGTCATCCCATAGGAGGCCTGGGTAGCTCTGCCCCTTGCCCTGGATTGAATGAGTATAGGTCATAGTTACTCTTACACTAGTTTCTTATTTGGCCATTCTATGTATGACATCTAAGGGAGAGGGAGGCACAGATGGGGACTGGGCTGTCTGCTGTAGCTCAGGTAAGGAAGACAGTTTACTGTAAAGTTGAGAGGGAAGAAGGCCACACTCTTACACTGAGGGGACATAAGAAGACAGAGACAAGCCTGCAGCCAGGCCTCCAAATGCAGAGACTGAGGGGGTAACACACAGAAAAGCTCTGGCCTGGGTTTTACAGAGCTGCTGTGGTCTTAGTCATGCCTGTCTTTTTCCTGATTTCTCCATGGCAGCACACAGGACTAGCCCTAAGTTGATGCCAGGGTCATTTGCCATAAGGGTAGGTGGATTGAAGAGATTCTATATGGTTTGACAGCAGAGAGAGAGAGAGAGAGAGAGAGAAGGCCACAGCACTGGGTACCAAGGTTCTAGAACCAGAGTAACAGCAAGGAAGAAGGGCGGCCTCTGTTCTTGAGCACATGAGGGTCAGGGAAGGACAGATCTGCTGCAGGGTCTTGGGGCCAAAATCCTCCATGCTTTTCTGCGACGGCACTCCTGATTGGCAGATGATAGCATCTCACGGGCTGTGGCGTCACAGTCATTCTCATTGCATATCCAGGTCATTTCTTCACCTCACATGTACGAAGATGCTTCCAGCTGTGCCCAGAGCTCCATCAGGCAGTGAGGTTCCTGGCTGACTTGGAGGCACTCTGAGCCCGCTGGACCACAGCAGAGCACTTCTCACGACGCAACAGCTTGTTGTTCTCAAACAGACCTTCATTTCGGGGTATTCCATGAGAACCATCGGGGAAAGTCAGCAAGCCTTGGAGGAGGGCAGAGAGAATGAGAAGGCATTAACGTTTCAGGTCAGCTTCATGTGTAGAGGCTGAAGAAGAGGAAAGTGACGGACATGGTCACCACAGATTGCTGGAGAGTCACAGAGAATTCAGGAAAAGTAGGAGTGCTCCGCCCATGTTACACTAAAGCATCTACCGAGCTGAAGCTTACCGAAACCATTGACTCTGCCATTTTTAAATTCCCCCTCAAAGGTCATGTTGTCATAGCGAATGAAAACTCCGACGCCATTAAACTTGCCCTGGGAAAACTCCCCCTCATACCTGCAGAGACACCAGGATGTTAGTTAGCCTTTAGTGGTTAGATTAGCTAGCTGTCCAGGGTAACTGAGGCACACAATTACCAGTGTGTGAGTCAAAGCACAGAGCAAAGCTTATTCCGCCCATCCCAGAGTCTGTGCCATGCCG